TACATAGATATACATATATCCATTGACCCATGAAGACTTTTACAAAGATACTCAAGGAATTTTGCCAGCCAGTCTTTCACTCAAGATAAAGTAAAGGCTATAAAATTGCCTTTTTAAAAACCACCTATAAAAACAAACCTGAAACACTCTTAGCTTGCCATAAAAGATATGATGGTATAAACATTATGGAGGTCTTATTGATCCTCAATACCTAAGCATAACATTGTTTTTAATAATAAATGGGAATGATGTAAATATGTCAGATACGAGTGCATTACCCTAAATAAAACCAGTAAATTGTGAGGCTTGATATAAAAGTGAAATATACTAATGGAACAATGTCTAGATTGTTCACATCAGGAGTGTAGCATAGCACTAAACTGGGCAAAATAAAAAAGAGAAATTAATTGAATGTTAGGAATATTATTTATCTTTCTTTTTACTGCACATTTTATAGCTATTTCTCTAGAAGACTTAAACATGGGGCCTGATTCATTGCTTTTAAGTCCAAAAAGAAGCTTGATTGAGTCCTTTAGCAAGCCCCTTGACAATCAGGCTAGGGGTTGTGGATGTGATACAGTCATTGAAATAAATCTTCTCTTGTTCTAGCCTTACACTACCCCATCTCTACCCAATAGGCACCTGACTAATCACTCCTTCTCTAGAATCAAATAGTACCCTATTTCCCGCTGAATAGTACTCAAACTTTCCAGCAGACTTAAAGGCATATGACAACCTGGCCCCCAGCATTCCCAGGGCACCCTGCTTCTTCGGTGCTTGTTCTAACTCTTGCCCTTCAGCTCTAGGCCCTCATCCCGCCCTATCCAGTACACATTATGTAGGACTCCCTGAGGCTGGAATGCTTTTATCCACCCATCCCTTTGTGTGAGCTGATATATTCACATCAGTTCAAATGTCACTTTTCTGTAATTTTTTACGATGATCTATCTCCCCAACCCTTCCCAAGAAAAATGTCTTCCCCTCTCATATCCCCATAAGTTTCACATGTCCAGGTCTTTTTTTGTTTTTGGTTGGTGGTGGGGCTTGAACTCTGGGCCTGGGCATTATCCATCAGCTCTTCAGCTCAAGGCAAGTGTTCTACCTCTTGAGCCACTGCACCACTTCCAGTTTTCTGGCGATTAATTGTAAATAAGAGTCTCTCGGGACTTTCCTGCCTAGGCTGGCTTTGAACTATGTTCCTCAGATCTCAGCTTCGTCAGTAGCTAGGATTACAGGCCTGAGCCCCTGGCGCCAGGCTACACATCCAGATCTTATCACTCCAATATATCTTCTTTGTTTTGTAGGTCTAGCCTACTATCCTGGTAGACTGTGCATTTTTTGATGACAGAATGGTGATGACAGGTATTCTTTTGCCATTCTCCCTTACAGAAGATATACACTGAACCTAGTTTTTTCCTTGAGCTACTCTAGTTTCTGTTTTCTTTTTCCATTTAGAAGAATTGCCAGAGTCTTTCTATGTATATTACTTATCACCACCTCTCTAACTTCAACACTCTGGGTTTTGTAACATTCCAATTTAACTGACTATTGCAATTGGTTGCTTTTTATTCTATTCTTTATCATCAAGACATGTTGCAGTTACAAAATGACTTTGATTCCCTCCCAAAGTATTTTCATAAACTGTCACCTATTCTTTTTCTGGATGTCTCATTGAGAAATCTAGATCTACATGTTCCTTCTTCTATGAGGTGTTTCAATGTGAGATCCTGAATGTACTTATGATTGTCTCTTCGCATGTCCCCTTGTAATACGTCTTCATCACTTGGCTCACTTTGTATCTTTAATTCTCATACTTATTTGATTCTACATTAATCCTTTAAAATCAGTTTCATTTGCTTAAATTATAAGAGGGAATTTAAACTATGTCTATTGAACTTATTCTCCCTGATTCTTATTACAGGATAACACATGTATGTATATGTGCATGTGTATTGTGGTAGTGCTGCTGTTATTTAACTCTTTTCTTATACTAAAATTTAATAAATCATATCCATTTCTGGGAAGGATTCATGACAAATCTCATTCTGTCTGGTTTCTAAGGAAACAAGCAACCAGCCTCAGCCAGAGACCTACACTGAATGTCATTTCCCTGAGATTTGAGTTTCCACTCCCCACTTCTCTCATTTCCCACACTTCTTTGTATGATTCTTTTTCTGCTTATCATCATTTTCCTGCTATCTCAGCTTTCCGCTGTGTGAAATGGTACAGTCATCTAGTGGGAATGTATAAGGGTCAACTGTGAGCAAAGCAAGACAGTAGTAGGGATAAAAGAATGTCATATGCCATGACATAGTCCCTGCCTGCCCCTTTAGAACTTGAAGTGCAGTTGCAGAGATAAAGCATGAAGATCAGTTGAGAAGAATGCAGCACTCAGATATGTTTGCTTCTAAGCTCTGAGAAAGGTCAATGTCAGTATGGGTTACATTGGTGACTGAGGGGAGTGGGAGTTTGGATAGCATGTAGAAAAAGAATTGTTCCTGGTAGGCTTTTCATTTCCTGCACTCAGGCAATGCTTAAGGAGAGGTTGAGGGACAGGGAGGAAGAAAAGATCCTGGGAGCTGACTTGAAACCTTTAGTGCAAAACAATATAGAAGACTAAGGGCAGACATCTGAAGTCTCAGGTAGAATAATTAGAAGCAAATGAAAGACAAGAAATGAAGGAAGCAAAAGCTGTAAGTTACGTAGTACCTTAACATTTATAAAAATAAGCTTATGAGTGACCCATAGTAAGGAGAGATAGAGAGAGAGAGAGAGAGAGAGAGAGAGAGAGAGAGAGAGAGTCTGACTTAACAAGGTTTTTGCGATTTTTATTCTTCCTAGTGTGAAAAATAATTTGTCCAGATAATCTAGTAGTTTTTAGAAGGTTCTATCAGATAGATATATAAAGCATTAGTCCACATTTGGCACAAAACTGTTGTTTGGTTCACTTTTTATATCCTTTGTGTACAAGTGAAATACTCTCTCCTAGGGAATTAACAGCAAGAATTTTATTGACATAAATAAAAAGGAACAGAGAACACTCTTTAATAAGAAGTGGTAGAACTCTTGAGCAATACTCAAATGTGCACCCCCGCTTGAAAACTCCTGACCAAATTTTAAAGGGATAGCAGTCTATAAATTATGCATTTTTTGTTCAGCAATACTGTGTCCCAAAACACATCACAGAGGTAGTTGCATTTAACCAAGGTTGGAAGTGAGCCAAGGGAGTTAATGGAGTGAAAAAGTGGTTAAAGGAGTTAAGTTTTTGCAAGTAAATGATTATAGTGATTGGGCCGTGGAATGTAGGCTAAGAGCCAACAAAAGCATAATATTAATGAATTTATTGGAGGTCTTGAGGTATCAGTGTAGTCAAGAAATTCATGAATCAGATTTAATAGGTAAATGAACAAAAGTGATCAAATCAGCGAGGAAAACAATTGAAACTGCAATTGAGTGAAGCTCTTCAAATGAAAAGGTCAAGGACAAGATTTTTGGAATGGGTGGCATAGAATTAGAGGGAAGGATACTGCAGGTGAGATTGATAGAGGAATGAAAGGTGAGGCTACTCAGTAGCTTATCCAAGGAGGTGCTGAAATTCCCACAGATAATGACCAAAGTAGAAGTGAAAATTTTTAAAATTCTTTAGACTCCAGACCAATCAAATGAAAACATGGAGAAATAAAAACAAAGTAAACTCTGTAAGTTATTCTGAATGGATGAACAATTAACTTCCATGCCCATATTTATTCACTTCGGTACCTAGAATTAAGCAGAATGACTACTGAACTAAGTCGGTTCACTCTTTTTTATAGGGAACATTTATATTCACAAAGACAATGTGAAACCTACTTGAGTTCCTTTCAGTAATTAGTGATTCCTAGGATCACCAGTCAAAAGTTGTAGTGTGCCTGGAGAAGAAAATTAAACCTATGCAAAGATTAAAAAATGTGTATCACATTCAATTAATTATAAGTCAAAGAAATGATTTGAAGTCATGGATATATCCTCATCTGTTTTTAAAAATGTTTCTTGTAATTAGGTGGTTATATCCTACCTTGCTACCAAAGGGAATTCTGATCATCTCTGTCACAAATATAGTAAAACCTAGTCTCAGGACAGATAGTGAATGATAGTAAGAAACAGATAATGTCCTTAGAGAAGCAGAACTAAACAGTAATAGAATAATCGATTTTCCTGTTCATTCATATTATACTATATACCACATCTTAGAATTAGTTACATATATTTTCTAATTCTTTCTTTGTTAACTAAACAATTTCAAGGGTGAATTCAAATATTCAATTTCCTTTTTACAATGGTACCTATTTATTTGTGTGTTTTATTACATAATTCAATGTATCACAGTGTCTCTTTTTATTAGCAGAAGTTAGTGGGAAAATGACTAAAGTATGGAAGAATTGTAAGGGGCACATTTTTGTTGAGAAGCAGTAAGTAATTGAATTAGCCCTTGTATATCACATGTCTTATACTTCTTTCCAAATTTACTCTATGAACTGAGCTTTTTAAACTCAGGTTCCTTATCTACAAAATGTGATCATTTGGTTACCAAATTTCCAATCATAAAATATTTTAAGGCTACCAGAATTCATCTGTAAAAATTATTGACTAGATAATCCAATCATTAAGAAGTTTAACAATATCAATTTTATTTTTGTTCTTTAGACCTCTAATACCCACAAAATTGTCATCATTGTCCTTATTAAGGTAGAAAGATTGGTGTACTGATAGATTTATAAAGTCACCTAAAAGATTAATGTGAATCATACCAGATCTACATATTTAAACTCCAGAAAAATTGAACAAGGAATTTTTTTACATGTAGGATTAATTTTTTGATTTTTTTATTGTGAAAATACAGTACAGAGCGGTTACAATTACATGGGCAAGATAATGAATATATTTCTTATCAAGCATTGTTGCCTCCTCCTTGAACAAGGAATTTTGTTAGATGCTTAACTCACCATGGTTTGGTATTTCAGGTTGGAATTGTACAGTATGGAGCAAACGTAACCCATGAGTTCAACCTCAATAAGTATTCATCTACAGAAGAAGTACTTGTTGCAGCAAAAAAGATCAGCAGGAGAGGTGGCCTCCAGACTATGACAGCTCTGGGAATAGACACAGCAAGGTACAGAAACAAAGCAAACAAAAGTAAAAGACCATGTGAAAGAACTACACATAGTCTTGTCCACTGGAACTTGATTCAGTGTTTGCTTTGGAAATATTTCATATTGGCTTGTTTAAAATTAGATTCAGAAAATCAAGTTAGCCTGCAATGAAAACTCACCGCCCTTCTTCTGTTTCCCTGTGATTACAAAGGTCTAACTTACAGTGAAACAATTTTAAAGTTAACTATAGTATACTTTGTTGTGTTATTAGGGGTATAAAGACCTAATATTAGTTATATTTATTACATTTGTTCTTTTTTATTGTTTCGCATTTATTCTTTATGTTCAGCTTCTAGGAGTCTCAATCTAAAGTAATGGATTAAAATAAAATTTAGTCATATCTACTCAATATGTATGTCTATATAATATACATGTATACATATATATTAATATGACCATATATTTTAGTACTTGAATTAGCATCATTGAAGCTATGTTAATTTAAACATGATCATTTAAACATATGTTAATTTAAAACAGATATGATAATTTAAAACCTTTTCAATGTGAAGCATGAAAGAAATACAAAGAACTTCTTCATTTTTCATGCTTTGTTTCCTTCTTTACTTTTTTTTTCATTTCCCTTCTGTTTACAACCCTTCCTTCATCCTCTCTGGTGATTTCTTCATGGAGAAGCATAACCTGCTCTGTGATTTCATTTTGTTTCATGAGAACCCACAAACTGTTCTCTGTTAAAAATGCAGAACATCTTATTTTCTGTATTTTCTCCAATCTCATCCAGTTCTTATCTCTGGCCTACTTCTTTCCATGTTATTAAATATAGAAAACTACAGGCAAACCCATTTCACACAAAAATCTAAAAAGTAGTTTGTCTCAGGTTAAGAATCATTCTATTAAGTGTCTTTAACTTCTGGACTCTCAGTTGGTTTTGAATTACCCAGGCTCTTATTTGACCTGACTAACAAAATCAGTGTTGTAAAGAGGATAAAATGGTTCACATGAATATCATAAGGTTGGATATTCAAATGTGTAAAATTTCATAGGCAGCTGTAGACTCATTAATGTTTGAAAAGCATATGGTTCTGGATACAGAGATCAAGAGGTAATAAACACAAAACAGATGGGATAATTTTACATTTACGTATCTGTAGGATCACCAAATTGCATGTACAGAGAACACATATATGTAGTGTACTGAATGCATTCCATAATTGATTGTGACAACAATTCCAAATAAATCAAAATGTTCTTTGAAAGCCCTAAGCCTATAAGAGTTTTGAGTTGTATACCACTTACAAATGAGCATTTGCCTTTGAAATCTAATTGAAGAAATATTCTGCCTCCCTTTGCACCTGTAAAACTGCCTGTAAGAAGTATATCCCTAAATGGATTTTGTTACATGCTCCCAAAAAGGGTTAACAGTAAGGCAACCTTTACTGAGTGTTGAATACACATACAATGTGGTCATATTGTAGTATGAGTATTTTTATCATACATTAGATTTTCATGACTAAGCCTATTTTAAATTATTTTTTATTCCTTTTAGGTAGAACTAATTTCAAACAACAGTTTTCATTGCTTAGAAACCACTATCTCAGCCAGATGTCAATGGCTCATGCCTGTAACCCTAGTTACTCAGGAGGATGGGATCTGAAGATCAGTTCAACACTAACTTTGTCAAAAATATCCAATCAATAATAATAATAATAATAATAATATCCAATAACTACCATAAAGCTGTAAGCCATAACTCAAGTGCAGTGCCCAATCTAGAGCTCTAGAGAGAGAGAGAGAGGAAAGAAGGAAGGAAGGAGGGAGGAGGGAAGGAGGGAAAAAGGAAGGAAGGAAAGAAGGAAGAAGGAAAGAGGGAGGAAGAGAGGGAGGGAGAAAGGAAGGAAGGAAGGAAGAAAATAATGGTAGAAAACATACCATTATCTCTATTTGCAACTAGTTCACCTCATTTCAGTTCAATTTTTTCATGTTCTCTTTTTTTTAATCCCAAACTTCATTCCTACCAATATGCTTCCAGGATTTTCCCCTAAGGCCTGGATTCTCTGGTCACAAAGAAAAAGATCCTCCTGGAATATTTTAATTTTTAAAAGCAATAGAAGAGGATAATAATTCCAGGAAAGGACATTGAATACTGGTGCTTTAGAAGCAAAAACAATTCATTAAGGAATATATTTGAAACAGAAAGGGTTCACTTGGAAGTTCTGCCATTGGCTATTCTTCTATTACATAAAGTCAGCCCTGGTTTCTGAGCAACCAGATTTTTTTTAAGAAAAGTCTTTTAATCATCTTCTTCAGCTGATACTCATTTAGTTCAGTTATGACCTTAATCTTTAAGAAAAATAAGAACTTTGGGTGATCCTCTAAAGAATTAGAATTGCAAAAAGATTGAACCTCATGTGATACCCATGTCCAAACTTCTTTGAAAACCTAGCCTATGGCTTCTATTTTCACCTTTGTTTATGACTTAAAGAAGTAAGAAATTCTACTTGTATAGTATGCTAAAGGAAATGTATTCATATACTTGGTGAAAATTGTAGGAAAGCTAGCATTCACGAAGAACTGTTGCAACTGGGAGTGTTGCACTGGGGAAGAGAGATTGTCTCCACTTTTAATACAACAAGGTAATGTGGAGATTTACAAATGCAGGAAAGGATGGGGAGTCAGTGGACGATTACTAAAGGGAAATGGAGATGAGGGGGCTGCTTGCTAGATTGGTTGAACATAATTCTTGTTGAAGGCAGGTAAATAGTAGAAAACTCTTGTTATACTCTCAAAACTAAATGCTCCACTTCTGATATCACATATGTTAGTCCTGGCTCATCTTGACCAGTTTTATGATATCATCTTGGGTCTCCTCCAATTTATTTTATTCAGGCACCAACCATAGTTCACGTAGACTCTAAAAACTGAGAATTCTGTCCCATAAGTCTATTCCCCCCTTCTGTAACCTGGACATTCTCCGAACCTTATATTTCAGGGATTTTTTTAATAGAGGCTTCATTATATAAGCCTAACTGATTATTAACTCAGACTCTATGACCTCTCCACTTCCTGCAGAATGGGAGTAGGGACTACAAGTTCCAAACGCTCATGGTAGAGCTTATCTTTCTGGTGATCAGCCCCTATCTAGTACCTCAGCAAGCGTCATCTGACTAGAATGAAAAGATGTTTATGGCACTCAGGGAATTCCAAAGGATTGGAAGCTGTGTGTCAAGAACAAAGGGCAGAAACTAGATATTTGTCTTTAATTAACAAACCTTTGGGCAAATGAAATTTAATAGAATTTATTTAACAAAGAATAAGCTATGGATTAGGCAGCATTCAGAGTCAGAAGAGAACAGAGATCACTGCTTTAGCAAAATGAGCTAAAACTAGACTAAGTAGGCCAAGGCCTCAGATCAGAGCCTAACTTAGAAGCCTACTCATCATTGCAGTCCTGATTAAAATGTATTTCTCTCTTCCAAGAACTCAGAGAGGAAATGAGTTGGCTAAACAAACACAAAGAGTTTGTGCCTATATGCCTGTCTGTGTTTTTCTGTATAGGATATGTAGAACAAATAAACGTTGTCTATTTCTCCTATTGACATTTTCCTTAAATTCTTGTTTGCAATTTGGTGATAGCGTTTTTCCTCTCTCTTCATGCCATCTCTTCCAATGGCTCCTTCAGCAATCTATGTCCTAAAACCTAGCTCAGGACCAGTCCTTCCTTACCCCACAAACCTGACGGATTTAGACCAGCACCATCTGCAGCCCTAACCCATATATCTCACCCTTCCCCAGACACAGGACACTTTCCTACACTATGTTCTTTTAAAACAGAGTACTTCAGCACCGCTCAGTGAATGTCCTTGATGCTGGGAAATGAGGTCTCCAGCAAAAACTTTGGCAGGAAGTAGAAGAGGCCAGGGAAGGAGTGGTTGTAGAGGAAGGAGAGGTCGGGAGAATATTTACAGACCTGACCTTCAATGAAGCTGATGGGTATTCCAGTCATACTCTCCCTTCATGAAGTTTCCAAGAAGAAAATAGTGTGGCCTCTTGTATATGTCCTTAGCAACATGGTGATCTCTACAGTCCTTGAAATGCATCTGAAATTTACAAACGTGAATCATTAGCCTACTGGCTGAAACAAAGCATATTGAAGCTGAGCTCAGAGGATACCAGCAGGCACCTAGAATTGCTAGGTTTTGGTTTAGGTTTTCACTTTGCCTAGTTTTGAGGTAGTTTGATCAGCCTATCTTTTGTATGCACTCTTTTCAGGAAGGAGGCATTCACTGAAGCCCGAGGTGCTCGAAGGGGAGTTAAAAAAGTGATGGTTATTGTGACTGATGGAGAGTCTCATGACTCCTATGATCTGAAAAAGGTCATCCAAGACTGTGAAGATGAAAACATTCAGCGATTTTCCATAGCTGTAAGTATCTTGCTACTTCTCACACTTGAAGGCATTAAATGTTGTTGTCAGGGGTGCATTTATATTCAGACCCTAATCTTAGAAGATAATGTCTGTGTGCCACTTACTGCACTCAGATGAAAATGAGACATCAGAACAGAGCTTATGATTTCATTTGTGTTTCAAATAAAAGACAACTGTATGGCATGTAAATGGCTTCCACATACTATTCACTGACACCTGCCTCTGTTCTGAATGTCTTTTTCAGGTAAATCATAGCAGAATTTCAAATGTTTGGGCTTAACATATTTGAATTGAGTGAAATGGAAGAAATTTAGAAGGGTTATTTAAAAACAAAAAAATCTTTTCTCCTTCATAGAAAATAATGTTTACACAAGCTATCAGTCCCTTAGATGAAGGACCAAAATGCATTTTCTTTATTTTCACCTGTGATGTTAAATATTTCAAAATTATAGGTATGCAAATCATGGTAAATACAGGTTTTTTAAAATCCCTTATATTTCATCTAAATTCATACTTCTACTTTGTATTTATAACTTTTGTTTTTATTCCTTAAGCATATCACTTGGACATGTTTTTCTTTTCCTGTTGAACTTTATCCACTTGTCTATTTTCTATCACATAGACTGCTAAATACTTGAGAATACTGACATCACATATAAGAATTTAGTCATTCATGGCCTAAAACACAGTCATTAGATTTGTTTTATGTCTATTTCCAGCTACATCAAGTTCTAAATAAAATTGAGTTTCTATGTCAACCCAACAGTTAATCTAGAATATGCTTAATTGGAACCAAAGAAGAAAGATGAAGATTTATTATTCTAGGATGTTACATTATCTGTAGATTAATTTAGGTAACTGGGATTCATATAATTCAGAATCTGTATGAATCCCAAAGGAATACATAGGTAACAAAACTGCTGACAGAAAAGGTAGTTCTACTGTGTGCTCAGAGAGGGAAAACATTGTATAATATTTCTCTGGAGACTCTCCTGTCTTTTCTATGCATATTTTGGGTTGTGCACTGCCTAGATGTGGTGAGCTGGCCACATCAAGAAAGTATCTTGAGAACTGTTTTCTTAATGAGAGATGGGATTCTGGGCCCATGGCTCCCACCTGTAATCCTAGGCTGAGGAATGTGGTTTGAAGCTGGGCTGAGCCAAAAATTTACAAGATCTAATTTCAACCAAAAAAAAAAAAAAAAGAGAGAAACAAATGAACTAATAAACAAAAGGTAAGGTGGCCTATGTTTGAGTTCCCATCTATAGAGGAAATGTATAAGTAGGAAGATAATAGTCAAGGATGACAAGATAAATAGTGAGAACCTATTTAAAAACAACCAAAGGTATTGTATTGGAATTCAGTCACAAGAAAACAGAGAAGACACATTTTTAGAGGTCAAATTGGAGGCCTTTATTGGAGAGCCTGTGTCTGAAGGTAGATTCCTGTCTCAAAGACCCACAACCCAGAACAGCGCTTGAGCAAAGCTGTCAAAGACAATGCCTCATGTTTGACTGTGGCACCCAAGCCCAACAAGAGTATTATACATAGGCACAACCAACTACCCAGGTGAACAACCAGGGACCATCAGGACCCAATTATGTAGGGAAAGCATGACTTTCCAGAAGCTCAACCACTCATGACACATTAACAATCCAAAGAATGTCCTCTGTCACCCCAATAGTTCTCACAAAGTCCCCATCTTCTATTGAGATGCCAAGATGATATTACTTAGATCCAGTATCCTTATTTCAAAGGGACTGGGGCATGAATTAAATATTAGAGCTGTTTAGCACGTACATGGCCCTGAGTTCAAACCTTAATACTGCCACAAAAGGAAAGAACAAAGGAAAGGAGAAAGGAAAAGAAAGGAGGAGGGGAAGAAGGGAAGGGAAAGGAAGGGAAGGGGGTAAAGGGAAAGGGAAAGGGAAAGGGAAGAGGAATTGTGGCCGTATCTATTTGAATTTTCCTTCCCTATCCAAGCTGCTGCCTATAACCTTCTCCTTCATTTTCTTCCCCCACTGCACAGCTGAGGTGGGAGAAAGCACTAGTAGTCTCTGTTCAGATGTTACTAACCTCCCATATTTGGCACTTTTAGCAAAGTACACAGAAATTGACTTCTTCTTTCCTAATGTCATTTAGAAGTTTCTAGTTTATACCTTCCTGCTCAATGTCTGGATATTTGAGTAGAGATGAAGTTTAAAATATCCAAAGCTACCCAGATGGCCAGCAAGTTACCTTATAAACAGCTCCAGCCTTCCTTAATAGCGTGCCTCTTCAAGGTACCACAGACTTTTCACAGACATTAGTATTCTCCTTATAACCACGTAACAGGGGAGGAAGCTAAGAAAAGGTGATGTCCTGGAGTCTTATAGACAGGAAAAGAAAGTCCTGTAATCATGAGAGACATGTGTTTCCTCTGGGCCAGTCACTGCTGCTCCCCAGAGAATGGGAGCAAAGTTGTTAGTCAAGCAAAGGGGGAAATAATCAAGAATAAATCCACCAACTTTTCCCCAGAAAGCAATATTTAGAAACCACTTTGAAACCTGCCTGACTAGATGGATGACAACTCATATTCTCACATTAGCATTTAATGTGCTAAATGCACATAGTGCTTAGTTGGGGCTCTCAACTGTTACCTATTTTATGATCAAATAAATACATGTCTGTTGTAGATCATAAAAGGTAGCACTTAAATAGTAATGTTCTTTTCTAACTTTCTATAATTGAAAAACTGTACATTTCTTTACCAAAATATTATTTTTTTCATAGCATTCTAAATCTAACTTAAGAAAATGCATGTACATTCCTAAGAAACTACCCAAAGTCTGTACTCATCATACCTTGCCCTCTTTTTAGTAATATTTTTGGCATCTACATATACAAATCTGAAAACTTAAGTTTAATATGTTTTACTGCTTTTAACTTTATAAAAAGATGGCTATGCTGTATAAATATTTTAGAAACTTTAAAACTTAATAATTTATGGTTTTTCAGTTACGACCATATACTTCCTTCATTGTTTAAAAATTGAGGCAATGTTTCTATGTAGTGAGATGTGGTATTTCAATTTGGAAACTGGGAAGGAAATAATAACTTGGAAATAGCGTATGTCCACATACCATAGCATGGAATGTCCATATAACGTTTCAATCAAGATCATATCCCAATCAAGACTGTAGCAGCTCTGTCACTCTAGAAACTTCTCCACACTTTCCTCTGTTTTCAGTACACGGCCTCCATTGCAGCCACTCCGGTGGCAGTTTTGTCCTCTATTGAATGTTGTCATATAAATGAAATCACACATAGGATGGTCTTTTGTGTTTTCCTTTTCACTCAATTCCATTTGGACCTTTCAGATAAGTTATTATAATAAAAGTTTCATAGCTACTTAAAGTGAAAACCAAAGTAATAATCTGCAAGTAACACTTGGACACAAGTAAAACCTAAACTTACTTCTTATTAGAAAAATGATGCTTTCACTACTAGGAGATTAATTAAAAATATTTTTAGGTAAATAAAAAGTGAAACTATGCAATCTCTTAATAGAAATAACAATAACATCAACACAATCCAAAAGATTGCTATCAAACGCTTATTTGTGTTTTTCTTAATGTCCACTAAGTTTTTCAACTTCAAATGTAGAGTTAGGTCAAATCTTCATATTAAACTTTTTGTATTTTAAACTTGGAAATTATTTTTAGATTTTTTTAAATAAATGCCTAATTTTAGATGATATAGTAAAAAAAAAAAAAAGTGAAAGCATAACCCTCAGTCTGGACAAAACTCTCAAAAGAAAAAAAATCAACCTGTATTTATTTAAACGAGTAGATAATTGAACAGACCCAAGCAAAGAAAGAAAATATTATGACAAACAATTGCATGAAAATCTCTCAACATCACTAGTCAGGGAAATATATAGTAAATAAGATACTACAACAACACAAGTGAACAAGGGAAAACTGATAGTAATAGGTGCTGACAGGGATGTAGTGAAATTGGTGGGAGTAATGTTGAAAAATGGAATACTTACCCTTGGAAATTGTTTGGCTTGACAGGGACTGGGTGCTATCTCTGAGCTTTTGTACTTAAGGCTAGTGCTCTGCTCCACTTCTGGGTTTCTTGATTTTTGTTTTTGTTTCTTTGATTGTTAAACGGGGAAAACAATCTCATGGACTTTCCTACCTGAGCTAGCTTTGAATTGTAATCCTCAGATCTCAGCGACCTGAGTAGCTAGAATTACAGGCATAAGCTGGCACCCAGCCTGGGCCCTTCTTAGGAAGTTATGATTACTATGCCACCCAGAATTCACTTAACAAAACAAAACACTATGCCTACATAGACATAGAAGCAAATATTTACAGCAGCTTAATTAATCAATTTTTGCAACTCAAATGTTCTTAGTGAACAAATTGTCATGTAGCAAGTCTTAATCATCAATAGATCAAGGCAAGCAGTGTAGCTAGTTCTCAAATACATTCTCAAAAAAGAAAGAAGCCGAGGAGGAAGCCTACCATTCCTTAAATGTGACCTTGTGGGAAAAGCAAAGCTATGGGAACTCAGAACACATAGCTGGATTCCATGGTGGGGCAAAAAAAGAAGGAATCAACTATGACGGATAAAAAGGAACTTTGGGTGTTAGTGGATGTATTCTGTACCTCAGCTGCATCATATTCTTACAATTACAGGCCTTAGAAAATGAACATAAATTATGTGTTATTACTTATGAAATGGTAACCCCTCAATATCACACCTTAAAAATAATAATAAAATTATATTTTAAAAAATATCTGGCATTCTTTAATCTTAAAAAATACAGTAGAAACCCATAGAAATTTTCTACACTGTATATAGATGATAAAAGGAAAGTGTTATAATGTAAAATAACAAAATATCCTACTTTCCAACACTAAAAAATAAAATTACATCAATAAAGTTTAAAAATCTACTTGGAAATACAAATAATTATTGTTAACCCAGTATTTGGCTGCAAACAATGGTGCTCCATTGTGTTTCTTCTAGATTTCCAAGTTAAATTATAAGTAGTAATTCAGAATATGTATGCAAACATTAGATGAATTTGTATGCATTACACACATATTTACATATATATATACAATTTATTTATAAATATATAACAAGAGCCACAGATATGGAAATGTATTTATGCATATGATATACATATATATAATATGAGTATATGTATATACACTTGCATGTATTTGACATATATATTTATATAATGCATATAACTCATTTTCTGATTTCATTTGGCATCAGACATATGTAACAGATGTGATGTTCCACTGGAATAATGTCAGCGGCATTCACACAATTACTTTTGAGCTATCAGATTTCAAGGATAGAGTTGATAATAGAGACATGGAAATGCAAAAGAGCACATTTTCACACAAACACACACACAGGATTTTAAAATATCCTACACCAGTTACAGGATTTATTTATGTAAATATTGAGGAAACAGTGTATTCTTAAAGTATATAAAATTTCTTTGTGCTAAGGTACTCTGCACACTATGGTTTGCCGACAGTATGTTTGATATCCTTAATTTTTATCCTTTATTTGTTCACACACATCATTTAAAATATATACTTGCTGTTTCTGTTGTATCTTAGATTCTTGGCCACTATAACCGAGGGAATTTAAGCACTGAAAAATTTGTGGCAGAAATAAAATCAATTGCAAGTGAACCCACCGAAAAGCATTTCTTCAATGTCTCAGATGAATTGGCCCTTGTCACTATTGTCAAAGCTTTGGGAGAAAGAATATTTGCCCTGGAAGGTATGACTATTTCTCTTCATCTTGGAAGCTTTCTTTATATTCAAACTCAATACAATGGATTTTTGCTATCTATTCCCAGTACATCACAAACACTTTTTTACTGCGCACAATAGCCAGCAAGGCTTTATATAAATCTGCCAATGAGCCTGCAGTTTACAAAGAGAGCTGCTAGATGCTTTCTTTGTACAAAGCTGACAGTGTCAATGAGAAAACCTACCAACAAAGACAGTGGTCAAAGTAGATACACAAGGAGAAAAATGTCTCCATGTGCTTTTGCGGTGACACAGTTCTAGAATATGGAACCACCAGCTGTAGTTTAGTCTTTCCATTTGTTTCTGGGTTCCACTGGGATTGCTCTGAAACTATTGTAATACAATAACTTCTTTGTTCATTTATTTCCTCTGGATTTTGCCCTTTGCACATTTTGGGGATCTTTCTGGAGCTTTGCCTTGAGTCTCCTGGCAATGAAACTCCTATATATTATGGTCTGTATTTGTCTGTCTTGTCTAAATCATGTGCTTCAGTATGGATTTTTCTTTGATTTTTTTTTCCCGGTGGTGCTGGCTGTGAAAGATGTTGAGTCTGCTATTCCCTCTTCTGCCTTAGGTCAGGGATGTCAAGTAACAAATTGTTTTGTAGCTAGATATTTCTTGACAAAAGTAAAAAAATGTACTATAATTGTACTACCAGGCATACTGGCCATTCCTTCTTTGGATTCTCTTTAAGAGAAACCAACATGGACCTCTTTCCCTTTTATTATGTCTCCAAGTCCAATTCACTCTCCTTATAAGGATTCCCTGAAAAAAGTATTGATTCTGCATCATATAAATAAGCATTTCAAAAAATCCATCAGTCTCCTTTACAGGACCTGATAATAGCAAAGGAAAGAGAAACTGGAAATGAGAGGTAACTGGAAAAAGATAGAACATTCCGATTGAGATTGAGGAGTCTAGGCAAAATATAGGAAAGAGAGTAACAATACTAAAATATATACAAAGAAAATTATTTCACACAATGGCTTTCAATCCTATTTTGAGTAGCTCATGATAATAAGTGTTTTGCTTACAACCTTATGCACAGACACATGTGCATATAAAACTAAAATCAAGTTTCACAAAAGAAATCATAACTTATTATATGAATCAATCAAAACAGGATTGAAAGCCATTGTGTTCTACCTTTTTCCAGTTACCTTTCATTTCCAGTTTCCCTTCAGTTTGCTATGATCAGGTCTCAGTTCTCCCTTTGCCTTCAGAAACAAAGCACTTCAACTTTTTGTCAGTCTGAAGTTGCAGCTCATTCTGAAGAGTGCATCTGTCTTGTGTTCTGGGTGCAGTCATTTTCACATGGCTTTGGTCTTGTAACACCCATTGTGGTGTTTTAAACCAATAAACAGCCGGGTCATGGCTTTCCTAGCCTGAAGAAAAACATACAAAGTCTTGCAAGTTATTCTGAGCTTTTAATTTTTGATAGCATAGGTTAAGAAACAATCTGTAAGGATAATTTCAACAATTTTACTCAGGTGCATTAGTTGTATAGTAAATATTATTTTGAAATATCCTTCTAAGCAAGCAAATAAATATGGCCTAAAATTAGAGAGATTAAATCCACATCACCCTGGGGCACGAAGTGGAGGAGACTGAATTTTTTTCTTTTTTTTCTTTACAAAAGCAAATTTTGTTTGTTATTTTCTTTCTTTTCTCTCTCTCTCTTTTAATTTTATTGTAAAGATGCTGTAGAGAGGGGCTACAGTTACATGAATAAGGTAATGAGTACATTTCCTATAAAGCATTGTTACCCCCTCCTTTGTCTTTCTCCTACTATCCCTTCCTTCCCCTATTTCCTCTGCTCTCTGCTCGCCACAAGTTGTAAAGTTCATTTCCAACATAATGTCTTATCAGTCTCATTGTTACAGTGGGTCATCCTGTGTTCTTATTTCATCATTTTGTTATTCCCCTTCCCCTCCCCAAATTAAGCAATTGTTTATACAAGGCACAGGGTACCATCAAATGCAATGACAACAGGGGTATACCATAGGGGGAAGAACATACAAAAGAAACAAAAGAAAATCACGCAGTACATTAAAAACAACAACAACAAAGAAAAATCTCTTGTGTCCGTGACAATTTAACTAACTAGAGCACAGGTCGGAGGTACCCCATTGGAGTACCCAAGTACTTTAAGAAGTTTTTATGTTTCAAATTGAAATTACTTCCTGTGCTAGTCACACCTGTCTGCAACCTTAGCTACACAGGAGGCTTAGATCTGAGAACCACAGTTCAAAGCCAACCTGCACAGACAAATCAGTAACACTCATATCTAATTAACCACCTAGTCAGAACTAGAAGTGTGTTACAAGTAGCAGAGGGCCAGCCTTAAGTGACAAGAAGCTAAGCAAGAACCTGAGGCCCTGAGTTTTCTGAGGAACTCTACAGATGGAAGATGTCTCTTCTTGCTTTTTTTTTTTCCTGAGCCTGGGCGCTGTCCCTCAGCTCTTCAGCTCAAGGCTAGTGCTCTACCACTTGAGTCATAGCACCACTTCCAGCTTTTTTCTGCTTATGTGGTGCTGAGGAATTGAACCCAGGGCCTCAGGCATGCAAGGCAAGCACTCTACCACTGAGCCACCTTCCCAGCCCTCTTCTTGCTTTTGCTGAGGCACTTACTAAGACTGATCAAAAAGCAGTGCTTTGAGCAGATTTTTTTCTTTATTGTTTTTATAATGAGATCATAAAGTGCTTCTATTCTTGTTACTTGGGGAAAACTCCTTTTCCTGTCAACATTTATCCCAAGATGGTAGATAGCTGCAATTAAGACAGTCCTGCTTGCCAAGGACAGTGCCACCTAGTGAGCCAAGTACAGCAAGAACTTAGTTCACGAAATCAGAAAATGATTCTGTGTCCCGTTCCTATCCTGTGCTGGGAAATCGCTGACATGCCTAACCAAAAGTTGTACAGGGGTAAGAGTGGCAAGCTTACCCTCCTGCAGGGCCTAGGGTATGGCACTGAGAGGTGTACGGCAGGTAAGCCTTACCATGAGGCCATTATGACAGGAAAAGTCAAATAGCATCTTCCTCAGCTGAACACAATGGCAAACATCAGGTGCTACAAACACTCAGGTTTATGCTGCTGCATTCATACCATTGGCCTAAAAGATAAATGAAAAAACACCTTAGAGCATGATGTATGTCAAATATGTGTTGAAGTACATAGAGAGCAATTCATATATGAGATTGACATTATATATTCACTTCTGTTTTGATTGCCTCATTTAATCAAGTTCTATGAAAAGGCCGGTGCTAATGTATTTAAATTTGTTTAATTTCATGAACGTGATGTTTCTCATGCTTCAATAGAAGAGCAGGCTGGCTTTTGTTTTTAAAGTTGGGTGTTGATTTTAATTTAAGGCCAAATAAATCAGTACCTCCATACTGGGAAACTTGTAAACCAACATAACCTCAGCTCCCTTATGACTTTGTGGCTTCAGGTCTGTGACTATTTTGAGAACAATTGTGATTACTTCCACAGAATGTTCTGGAGTGTCTCTACATCTTGGTAAAGAGTTTTAAAATGAGTCTAAGAGTCTTAAAAAATTGTGATTGGTTAGAGTGTGGCTTGAAAAACTGTCCTCCAGATCTGGAGTAGATACCCAGCAAAAACAAGCTGCATGCCATCCTTAAATCTTTTCTCAGGCAAGGGGATTCCAAGAGAATCTGTGGCTGAGATAGGGTGGGAATTCTCTTTGAATGTATTAATGAATTTTCTTTTCAGTCTGCTAAAGTTTAAGCCAGTTTTAGCCTAGACACGATTCCTAGATATAAAGATAAGACAAATGTTTTCTACTATGGTAACTTTAGCCACGTGCACCCAGGGCACCATAGGATCCACAGCACACTAGAATACAGAAGACATGACAAAGGATACCTCCATTTCTTCAGTAAGACTAGGAACGCAGGAGCAAAACTCTGAGACAGGAAGGAGTCTTTTCACTGCTTTTCTTTTTCCTCTACTCACCTCCTAGGAATTCAGGACTTAGAGAGCTATACTGAGAGTTCTCTGAGATAGTTCCAAGATCTGGTTGATAAGAACTCAAGCTCTACCAATTATCTGTTACCCTGCAGGTTAGCAGTGCACTAAAAGACCTTGTTAGTTGTTTACAGTGATATTTTTCCTGTTTGTAGCTACAGCTGACCAGTCAGCAGCGTCATTCGAAATGGAAATGTCTCAGACCGGTTTCAGTGCTCATTATTCACAGGTATGAGGATCACCTGGTAGAAGATGAAGTGTCTTTTACAGTCATTGCTGTAACAAATGTAATTTTCAGTTCCTGGTGTGAGCAGTTATGTAAGTCATGATGATGTTTCCAACAAATAGGAAAATTGGCATTACATAAGCTTTATACTAGCAAACATTATCTCACACCACTCACTGTATTTTATAAATAACTGTGAATTGGACAATCAGAGGTCTGTTTTCCATAGTTGTGTATCTGGCTACATGAAACAATTTATTTGCTAAAGATATGGAATCTATGTCCTTCTCCATGTCAAAAAATACAAGGTTCTTGCTAAAATCCTTTGACATCTACAAGAAGAATTATTAGCACTGAGAAGAAATAAAAAAGACAAGAATAGAAACTGTATTTGATGTTGGTATAATTTGTGGAGGGGAAGGGAAAAAACAAATTGTTTAAATAGGGATACGGTGGATCCATTGCAACAATGAGATGTACAGGTCGTTATGTCGAAAAATGAACTTTACAACTTTGGCGCAGGGAGGGGGTGTGAAGGGGGAGAGATGGGAAGGGGTAGGAAGGGGAAACATAGGAGGAGGCAACAATGCTTGATAAGAAATGTACTCATTATCTTGCCCATGTAATTGTAACCCCTCTGTACAGTATTTTCACAATAAAAAAAGAAAAAAAAACTCCTTAAAATATTGTAAAAATAAAGAATAGAAACTGTTTCATTTATAATTGGTTGAAAAAGCCATCATGCAGTATATAAAGGAATATTGACCTTTCAATATATATGTATACCATGTAACTTTGGACAAGTTAATTAGTATACATGTTTCCTCTTCAATAAAATGGCATTTAGCCCATAATGTTCTTGGAAGGATTATGTAAGTTAATTTTAGAATAGTATCTGTAATATTAATGCAGAGTAAGCTTGACCCTATTTTAATTAAAGATTGTTTTTATGTATATTTGCATGTAAGGACTGGGTCATGCTGGGAGCAGTAGGAGCCTATGACTGGAATGGAACAGTTGTCATGCAGAAGGCCAATCAAATCATAATCCCTCAAAACACAACCTTTCAAGTCGAGTCTGCCAAAGAGAATGAGCCTCTTGCTTCCTATTTAGGTAAGGTTTGGGTGTATATAATGATACTTTAAAAAATTATCTTTAAAACTCCTGATTATAATTTGATAGGTATATACCAAATAGCAAGATCACTGTGAAGATTTAGAATTTTTTAAAGGACTCATGAAAGAGTTTAACAGTCCCAGGGAGTGAAAGACTCACACTAACTTAAAGACTATCCTTTCTCAGTTGGGATAGCCAATGCAGAAATGTTTTTGCTGGATTCATGACCTTTACCCGGTGTCACTGTGTCTGATACTTACTTTTACCTGAAGACTACACTCCTATATCCTCTTAGATAATGTTTATCTTTAAAGTTTCTCTCTGTGGGTCCTAATTTTGAAAAAAAGATAATTTTTATCTTATATTCACGACCAGGCAAATGCTGTTCTTAAACTCAGTAATATAATGCCATCATGTTTTCTAAAATCTTGCCAGGAACTAGGCTGTATGTGTCTGATGCCAGGTAATTCAGTATCTATACCAGGAGTTCGTGAGGCATATTACAAGGCTCTCTCATCTCTGGAAGATTTCAGGACATCATTTCTCAGCTACCACTCAACAATATTTTTAACTCCTCTTTGGCTTGAGCATTATTCTTGGTTTTGGGGCTGTAGTAGTAAAGAAAATAAATACCTAAGCTTCAAGTATTCACATTATAGCATGTTGGCATTTCTTGGTTGTATCCTCTGTCTGTTGCTCTCTATTTCCTAATTTCTTTCTATTTCAATGGGAAAGTGTCACATTTTCACTGGTATCATCATGTATTTTCTACACAAGGACACCTAACAGAGCAATAGAGACAGCAGGACTTAAGAAGAGAAAAGGGACTTTGATTTTGGATGACTGAAAATATAGTAAACAGCAAGGACACTGTGGCTGCTAAAAATCCCTTAAGATATTCAACCACATTAATAAAAGTCTAGTTCTCTTTCTTATAGAAGTTTATTATATTCTGATGTTATCTGTAAAGAGCTAGAATATTCCATTGTCTAAACCATCACACATTCCAAAGACAAAATGGTAACCAGGCTATGCCAGCCACAGATTCTTTAGGAAATCATATCTGGAAACAGTTTGTTTGCTGCTACAAATCCCTCTTCTGCCGAAGCCTGAAGAAACCGGAGTTTAGAAAGCAAAGTGAACATTGCATATCTATGAAATATTTGGAACATTGTGATTAAAAAAGATAGGATGTAAAATTCATATGAAGTTTTAGCATTAAGAAAGCTATTAGAGGGAACAATCAAACATTTAATTTCTAAGCTAAGAAAGCAAAGTATAGAACAATCATGTCATAGGTCTGAGGTCAGTCTAGTTCTACTGATTTTTATGCCAGTGTTCACTTTGTCACCAAAATACCCAATTCTGGGTTGATCAGGAAAGCATTCCACAAATACTGAGTGTCTACAGTGTGCCCCACATTGAGTTACTAATCAAGAATGACAAGATGAGCAAGGCAGATCAGTACCTGCAAATTGCTTTGGGTGAGAAACAATGATGAAATAAGCAATTACTCTTGGTATGCTATGTGCTTACAAAGAAACTGACAGGGAGGGAAGGAGGGAAGATTAGATTCTGTGAGACTGTTTTATGTAAAATACCTTGGAATCAAGAGCTAGTTTAACCTGAGCCGTCTTTCTATCACAGATAAAGGAATTATGTAACACTTTTGTTCAAATATAAATGATGCTATGTAAATTGGTATAACTGTATATGGAGGTTACCTGATACTGTGTTTGGCCATGCCAAAAAAAAGACTGTAGACCACATTGACTCAGAAACTCTACTCCTGAGAATCTAATAAAACAAATACAATATTGAAGAATGCCAATGATATCTATGATATTGAAGGAAATACCATTAACCCAAATATCCAAAGGACAAGGAAGTAAATCCACTTAATGAAACATAATTCACCTATCAGAGTAAAAGTGATAAAGCTATTCATGCTATAAGTCTTTCATTGTTCTTTTTTGGTGGGGGGAGGGGGTCTGGTCGTGGGGCCTGAACTCTGGGCCTGGGCGCTGTCCCTCAGCTCTTCAGCTCAAGGCAAGTGCTCTACCACTGAGCCACCTTCCCAGCCCCTGTAAGTCTTTAATTGTTTACAGTTCCCTCTGTATAATGAAAGATGGCTGTGGGTTACAGAGATTTTTGTTGATTTTCTGATTGCTCCTGTGGCTTAAGACAAGTTACTATATCTGACAAAACTCCAATTTGCTTATTTCTCAAAATGCAATAATTACATTGCATATAATTTGGATTGTTACAACTATTAAATTAATGACAATAGGGTACGTAGCATTATTCCTGAAAATTAATCAATAGTTATAGCCTATTGTTTTCTTGTTATGTTCTATTGTTCACTAATTATTCCTTTTGGCACTGTAGAATAACAACACCCAACAATTTCCATTTCCTAATACCCCGACATATTAACCATGTAGCTGTGATAAAGGTCTTGAGATCGATAGATTGCCCTGGACTATTTATCATGGCCCAGTATGATCAAGCATCCTTAAAAAGTCCCAGAGAGCTTTTCCAAAGGAGATATAACTATGTGACAATAGTTAGAAATAAAATGCCATTTGCTTTGAAAATCGAAAAAGGACCAGTCTGTTTACTATGCATGATCTGTGGATGCATAAAAGATGGAGTAGCTTATTCTCCATGGGCTTTACATGATTTTGGCCTAGGGAGAACTGTGCCAGACTTTTCATTTACAGACATTTATTGACATCGAAAACCACTGTTTGGTTGTATTGTGTTGCAGCAGCGAGAGAAAATGAATACAGGTGAATTGTGCATGATATTAACAATTGTACTAAGTGTTAAATGTTTAGAAACTTTAAATGTATCATATGAAGTCCATAAATCTGTGATATCATCACAATTTCTATAAAATTCATATATTTTAATTATGAATATGATGCTGAAGTGTGGGTGTCCTGCATTATAATTACATGATTAAATTCCTTAAAGACCAACTCTTAGATTCCCAAACCTTATATCTCCAAAAGCTTCAGTTTATAGTTGATAAAAACAAATGTTCAAAATTAAAAATTTAAAGATATCACAGTAAGTAAACATTAACAAACTTCATTCCTGACCTCAGTACCTCTATGACTCCTCTTGCTAATTATACCTGAAAATGAGATGCCCACATAAAATATAAAAATTATTATCTCAACCCTGTAAAATGATTCATCATATATTGCATGTCGCTCTTAAGGGACCAGATGTATATATGAAATCTCTCTTTGGTTAGGTTACACCGTGAACTCTGCCACAGTCTCTGGAGATGTGCTTTATATCGCTGGACAGCCTCGGTACAATCACACAGGCCAGGTCATCATCTACAAGATGGAGGATGCAGATGTCAAGATTCTCCAGACACTCAATGGAGATCAGGTAAACTTGATAACATTGTCCTAAATTTGTCTGTGAATTCTATATAATAGTCCATTGTCCTAAACTTTTCCAAAAGCAAGAACATGTATTTTCTTTTAACTAGAATATATGTGATCAAGAACTCAAATGTAAAATTCACTAACCTGCTAAATAAACCCAGACAAATTCATTCAATACCTATAGCAGATCTGCATCCATTTTTTCCCATGTTGCTGGGTTGGAATATGTTCGAAACCATTCCATGATGCATTCTCCTCTAGATCTCATTTTAGTTCCTTAGAAGTCATGTAGACATCTGCTGATTTGATGTGTGGAGAAGAAAGAACAGTTTCAGGGTAAAAGCTAAAGAGGATCACTTCTGTTATTCTCAAGCTATTAAATCCTCAAAGATGAGATTGACTAATATTCTTTATCCTAGAGCCTGTTCATCTAGCACTTGTCTTTATATTCCATTTTTTTTGTAAACCAATCTTTCATCGTCTTCTAGATTGACAGAAGAAAAATGTACATTTCACCTTCTTAGAGAATCTCTGCCATTCATTAAGCTGTTTTGTTCTGTCTTATGTATTAGATTGGTTCCTACTTTGGCAGTGTTTTAACAACAGTCGACATTGATAAAGATTCTAATACTGACATTCTTCTTGTCGGGGCTCCAATGTACATGGGAACAGAGAAAGAAGAACAAGGAAAAGTATACGTGTACACCCTGAATAAGGTAATGCTATCTGAGTGTGGCCTAAATGCAGAAAAAACTCATCCTTTCCTTCAGTTTTGATTAAGGCAATTTTAATGTCTTATGTGCCTTGAAAAATATGAGTAAAGACTTGAGAGTCATTTACCCAGAAACCCTTCAGTGTTTTTTTTAACCCAAATACATATGATAAGAAGACAAACCTAAATCTCAGTCATCTGCTGCATAACCCTAGCCATGAGTCATTCTGGAGTTCTGGACTGGAACTGATATTAGCAGATAAAATGATTTGGAGCTTCAAAGCAAGAAGGAACCCAGATCCTGTGGTCTTCAGAGTGTTTCAGAATAGTTCACTGGGCTCCACTGAGGTTTTCTTTTCCATTCTTGACTTTAGACATTGTTTATCTGGTGGAATATTTAACATGAATATTTCACAGTTTATACAAAGGCCAGTTTTTAATTTAGGTTTTAAATTATTTTATTGCCTCTTCTATTAATTATTTAACATCATAAATTGTGTGTCATTCTTGCCCTCTTTTTCTAGATTTATTTTCTACTGTCAGTTTGTTTGCTTTTCATCATGTGCCATTTTTATCTTCCAACCTTCAAGAAGTACGTTCTTGTTCATTCTTTGCTAGTACTTTCTATGTTTAACTAGGTTGCTCATTTGAGGACTTGTTTTGTCTTGTTTTGTGAGATAAAGCCTAGAATATACTCTGGAACCCAGTGGCCTAGAACTTGGTCTCTCCTACATCTGCCTTCTAAATGCTGGAGGTGCAGGCATACTCACGCATAAATGTTTACTTTCTTTTGTTGTGGTAGTTGTTGTTGTTTTCCTTTTTGGTGGTGATGGTGATGAGGAGAGGTTGAATCAGGTACTATGTAACCCAAGTTGTCCTCAAACTCATGATCTTCTTGCTTCAGCCTCTTTTGTTTGGGAATTTCCAGTATGCAATTCACACCAAGTAACAAATTGGTGTTTTGAACCATTTTTTTCTCTTTGTTTTAAAGAAATGAGAGAAAGGCTTAACATAGGACAATATACACACACAAATTGTGGATTTGAAATCTGTTCTTTGACTTGAAAAAGACGATTTTAATTACACGCTCAACTCAAGGAGAGACTCTATTGAAACTCTCAATATTCCTCCTTTCTCAAGTTTCTAGTATAAGCTTTGAAATTCTTAACCTGACTCTCAAATCAGCACACTTTTTAATTTTATAAATTTTTCCATTTGTGTACAATTGGTTTGTTTTTCCAGTTGTGAGGCTTGAACTCAGGGGTTGGGTGCTATCCCTGAGCCCTTTTGCTCAAGGTTAGTCTAGCTCTACCACTTTGAGCCACAGCTCCATGGTGGTTTTTGAGTAGTTCACTGGGGAGTCTCACAAGGACTTTTCTGCCCCAGTTAGCTTTGAACTGCGATCCTCAGATCTCAGCCTCCTTACTAGCTAGGATTATAGGCCTGAGCCATGGGCATACAACTTACAAATGGTTTTTAAAAGGGCTGATTTCATGTGTGCTTTTAGAACCTTACTTAGCTGCAGTGATAGAAATGTTTAAATATGCTTTTTATCTTTCTTCCAGACAAGGTTTGCATATCAGATGAGCCTGGAACCAATTAAACAGGCTTGCTGTTCATCTCTGAAGCACAATTCATGCACAAAAGAGAACACAAATGAACCATGCGGGGCTCGCTTTGGAACAGCGATTGCTGCAGTCAAAGACCTTAATGTTGATGGGTTTAATGACGTGGTGATAGGAGCCCCCCTAGAAGACGACCACGCTGGAGCTGTGTACATTTATCATGGCAGTGGCAAGACCATAAGGAAAGAGTATGCACAAGTAAGATGTCCAGTCTATGGGTTCTTGCCCTTCAGCACCAAGCAGGTCCAATGCCAGCCATTATCTATCTGACTTCTTGATTTATTTAATTTCTTACTTATGACTACAGTGAGAAACAAGATGTAATCCTCTCCTAAGTGTCCTTTTTATATCGGTCATGGGGCCTGAACTCTGGGCCTGGGCGCTGTCCCTCAGCTCTTCAGCTCAAGGCTAGCGCTCTACCACTTGAGCCACAGTGCCACCTCTGGCTTTTTCTGCTTATGTGGTGCTGAGGAATCAAACCCAGGGCCTCATCCATACAAGGCAAGCACTCTAACACTGAGCTACTTTCTCAGCCCTCCTAAATGTTATTTATAGGGGAATTACTCTATATTTTATACAGTACTCTAATATATCTTTTCTGATGTGATTTGTCATACCTCCAAGATCTGATCTTTTAAATGGTAAAAATCAAAACAAAGAAAGACTCCTTGAAGGAGTGACGTTTAACATCTGTAGTGGGTTTTATTCTAAAGAGAACACTAATTACATTAGTTTACCAATAAAGGAGATGTGATTATTGTGTTTATATTCAATGCCTGTGTTCTTATAATAAAATTTTATTAAATTTGTATTTATGGGTTAAATTGGTATATTTTCAACAAATGAATTGAGATTTCTGAAGGTCTATAATTTTCTCACAAATAGCCCTTGGGGGGAGAATGAATAATTAAACCTAACCTGCAGGGTGTTCTGATATTCATGTTTTAAATTTCTTTTCAGCTAATAACTCTAATCTATAAATTTAATTTCCTCATACATAAGAAAAATATTAATTCACAGAAATGGCTCATGCAGTATTAAAAAACAAAAATGCTTAAAAGAGTTCTACTGTGATTATATGTTTTATATAATAATGGTTAGGCATTAAACAACTACTTATGAATAAAATATATCTCAACACTTAGCTTATTAGCCATGAAAAGAATTCAGAACATTAGCTCTTTCTTTTTACATCCAAGTAGTCTCTTTGGTTCAAGCTCTATTCATATATTGTAAAGTTGTGTTTAACTTTCATAATGCCATAGCAGCATTAATAGAGAATAAAATAAAGAGCCAATGTCACTAACAATACTTTCATCCACTTGATAAATGGTTTGTTTCTGTTAGTGATAGTCATAGCATTATGTATTTAATGAAAGGCATGCAGTATCAGTGGTTAGGCATGATGGAACCAGGAAATGCATCTAGAGACTTCTCTCTTGTGTTCCATTGCTTTATTCCTCTGTATTAATCCTTCAACATTAGTAAAATAGCAATAGCATTTTACATAGAGAATGTTTTTAATCACTTAGGAATATGTGTCACAAGCAAGTTTTAATGAAATAGTGGTAAATCGAGGTGCAGCTTTAAACAAGAATACCACAACCAAATATTAGATTTGTTTACTTATTAGCAAAAATATTTTCTAAAGGAATAGATGAAGATATGCTTAATTGTTTCCATAGGAACCAGATATGTTGCTGGTGTACAACTTGAATCAAATTGAATCATTCCTTCAAGACTAACAAGACAGATCTCTCTCTCTCTCTCTCTCTCTCTCTCTCTCTCTCTCTCTCTCTCTCTCTCTCTCTCTCTGTCTCCCACTGAAAAAAAGTGGCCATAATTCCCAAAGAGACACAAAATTTAAAACATGAGAATTATTTCCATTTGGCCTGTCTGATTTGGTGTTTTATTTTATGTTATTTAAGAGAAAATCAAGATGATGAGAGTACTCCAGATGTAGGAGTTTCTGTCAGTCTGTTCTTCTTGACATCAGGTTCTATCAAAACAATATCAACTGGCACCAACACTGAGTCAAGAGGTGCAGACATCACACATACCATGCAAGGTTATATGCTCAGAGTAACCCCCAAGAGCTCCATATTCCCCTGTCTCCCCTACATGTGTATAGATATGAGTGGGTAAGAGGTATGAGTAAAGCTAGAGCTATTTTGACTGTAACTTTCAAGACACTTTTGACCCACAGTGAAGAAGATTGCATATTGGAAAATGTATTTAATGCAGTGTATTTGATAGAGTGATTATACCTAGTCACAAAGTTCAATGAATCCATGTTGACTCCTTTCACCTAGCAAATGAACTCCTATCCACTCTTCCATTTCCCCAATTGCTTGCTTACATGATCTGGTCCCAAAGTTTGCAGAATGTTTAAATAGCTCTATGTCATGGAATTGAGAAGTAACTAGAAATCAAAGACAGTTACTCATAATAGTTCCCTCGGATGTTACACAGGATGATATTATACAATTATTTCCCCTTTCTCTGGTGTCCTTGTACTATTAACAGAACAATGTCCTCTGGGAATATCTGACTATTTCCTCTTGTCTCTACATGGAGAGCCTCTTTGCTCCTAAAAGATCTTTTTTTTGTTGTTGTTAGCCAATCTAGTTTCATATCATATTCATTCTGAACAGACATTCTGACATAAAACTCTCTCTGTTGGCCTTTCTCACAGCGTATTCCTTCAGGTGGGGATGGCAAGACACTAAAATTTTTTGGCCAGTCTATACATGGAGAAATGGATTTGAATGACGATGGTCTGACTGATGTGACTATTGGAGGCCTTGGCGGTGCTGCCCTCTTCTGGTATGTACTTTATAATATGTGATTGATTTGATGCCATTTCACAGATAGTTTCAGTGCTCACAGTATGATTGGAGCTTTGGCCATACTATATGTCTATTTCTATTTCACTTCTTCATGGAGATACAAGTTTCTCATTTCACCAAGTGGGAGAAATCAGAGTCTTAAGAACCCAGAAGTTATATGGAAAGGATGAGTAGAATGACTCTTAATTTGGTCATCTATTATATACTTAATAATAAAATAAATATTGTTTGGGGGAAATTGTACTGAAAGAGAAGGCTTCTTTTCAAAAAAAATAAGTATACAAACAAGCAAACATCTCTAACTTTGAGTTGCACACAGCTTTCAGTGTTAATTGACTTGGTTCCTTGACTTGATTCATAGCAATAGAAATTGTCTCTCTTATAACCCAGGTTCTATTGGCAGGAGAATTCAACAAGGATTCTGGGATTTAAAGATGAAATTTTGCAGTACTTAAGCAGGGATAGAAACAGCATACAGATGACAGGTAATGAACAGAGACCATAAAAAAAGATCCAAGAGGAGATAATGAGAGCTTAGCCACATATACTAGATTGAACCACAGTTCTAATAAAGATCCACTTGGGTCATGAGAGGCTATGTAAGTGAACATTGATCAAGGCAATCTGATGAGTGAAGAATCTGTTTTACTAGATAGCAAATTAGCCATGCTTATTCATTGATGATGAGATATAAACTAGTCAGAATGCAGACGGTCTTTGTCAGTAAGTATTTCAAACCTTAAAATGTTCTGTTTATTCACAAGGAATTTACTTTGTAAAAATTTAAAGTTATAATTATTGACTATAAAGATATAAAATGTTTACAGACATCACAGCTCTGTATTTAACAACTAGTTTTTTAATGTAAAGAATGAGAGGTGATGGAATTCTTATGTTCTGGTATATTTATGTGCTACTATAGCAGACTGCCATTAAAGACAATGTTCTCAGAATATTCATAAGCAGTTTCTTATAGAGTTAAAAGGACAGCATAAATCTCACTGAAACTGAGAAAATCAAAATTATGGATAAAAGGTGACTACTGTACTTATTATTTAAGATAATATGCAAATGAAATAACAAACATGCACCCTCAAATATTATACTGCTTCTTCTTTCTAGAAACAGGGACAGAATTGAACTCACAAAGACAAACAACTATTACACTCTAGTTGAAAACTAGCTAGGTTCCACTACTTTTCTAGGTGTTTCAAAATTGGGGGGAAATGCAGAGGTCTGTAAAAGATAGTTTTGATTCTGGGCTTGCTTCTGGGAACTCAGTTCCATCTCTTTTCCATTAAAAGCAAAACTAAATCTTTGGCCTTCTAACCCAATGAAGTTTCGAAAATAACCTGAGTGTTTTCAGAACATAAGATACAGTCTCTCTCTGTGCCAAAAATGGTAAATAAAGGAAAATCATTTCCAGAAGATAACATAGTCCTCACAAGCTGATGGCATGCATCCAGTGCAAAAAGGTGTGAGCAATCCCTATTTTTATGTGGTACTAGGTCTCGAGATGTGGCTGTGGTTAAAGTGACCATGAACTTTGAACCTAATAAAGTGAATATTCAAAAGAAAAACTGCCATATGGAGGGAAAGGAAACTGTGTGTATAAATGCTACAATATGTTTTGATGTGAAACTAAAGTCTAAAGAAGACTCTGTTTACAAAGCTGGTAAGCATAATAATTACAGCAAGTACTTTGGTGATAAGGATAATATATTTGCTCTGGCTGACATGATAAAATCTAGTGGGATATTACATTTTCCTCAGCCACAGGGATTGAAATATGTTTGTCTTGTAATACTGAAGATTAAAAACAGTTCTGTTATAAAGGAACAGGTTATAAAACCTAGTAAATTCTATTGCAGGAATTATATGCAACATCCTATTTGTGTATATATATATTATAAATTATATATACATACGTACGTATGGTAATTCAGGGATAGCAATTTGAAATAGAATCACAATGTGTCATTTTTCCTTCTAGTAGATTTTCACAAAAATCTTCTTCCATCTCCTGCCCCCTCCTGGGGAACACTGGTACTGTGTAAGATCTGAATACTTTGCTGTCTCCAGTTAATTTTCCTTGAGAAGGCTAGGTTCCTCTTTGAGAGTTGGACTTCCTTGGTGTGGAGCTGTCAGGTGCATGTGTCAGCCTGTGTGTTCCCCTCCTATCCTATATTCAGTATTTCTCATTGTAAGGCAGTTTTTTTTTTTTTTTTGGGGTCCGGTCATGGGCCTGAACTCTGGGCCTGGGCTCTGTCCCTCAGCTCTTCTGCTCAAGGCTAGCGCTCTACCACTTGAGCCACAGCGCAACTTCTGGCTTTTTTCCTTTTTGCTTATGTGGTGCTGGGGAATTGAACCCAGGGCCTCATGCATGCAAGGCAAGCGCTCTACCACTGAGCCACCTTCCCAGCCCATGTAAGGCAGTGTTTTTAAATGACACTGAAATACACTGGAGTCAAAGCTCTTCATAGCTTTGACTGAGAGGAGTAATTTCCTCTGTCAACTAAATATAAGTAGAGAGGGAAAAAACATTAATTCTTAAAATCTTGCTTTCTTAAATTATATATGTGCATATAGATACTCTCTGACATAATTCTCTGACCAGAAGATAAGTGAAACATAGAGATGTCAACTAATGATTTAGGTTTTCATATGCTTCACTATCTCAGTTGTATTTAATTTTTATTTTAAAAAAAAAGCAATGAAATAAGGATTGTGACCTTCATATGAAAACAAGACTATTTTTTATTGTGGTATACTCACTTTATTGAAGTTAATAGTGCCTTGAACATAATCTATGGTGTTGCCTTTTTCTTTTAAAAATAGAAAAATATCTATGAAAGTCTATTTTTAACTCTATTCAAATATATTTGAAATTAAGGAAATATGTAACCAATATTTTTATAATGTTCCAATATTTCTAAACTAGGAAATATGTTGGAAGCCACAGACATGGCCACTAAATTAGTTATGTGTATGCACATGTGCACGTCACTATCTGTGTATGAGTACATGTTGAAAGTTACTATAATTAAACATTGAGTATTTAGTGAATTCACAGATGAGTTCTCCAGAGTTCTTCAAAGTTATTTTTGTGGCTGCTAATAATACCTTCCTTACAGTGATGGCGATATACAAAATAATATCACTTTGTCTATCCGACAGTGCTAATTTAATAAATTAAACCATATGAAAATCACTCCCCAGTAAACATTTCTGTTAATGTTTCTTTCATTTTATTTTTGTTCCATATTTTGTTTGTATACCTCTGAAGATATGCAGTACCGTGTCACTTTAGATTCATTAAGACAGATATCACGAAGTTTTTTCTCCGGAACCCAAGACAGAAGGATCCTAAGAAACATCACAGTCCAAGACTCAGAATGTACTAAGCACTCCTTCTACATGTTGGCAAGTAAATCATATATTGTAGCTGCCTCATTCCAAATCAAGTGTATGGTATAAAGGTCTTATTTCAAGTCTATCAAGTTCTTTCTTTTTGGATTTCAAAAGTGCACACCATAAAACAGACTTTTTTCGCTCTTATCAGAAAATTGCAGGTCCGATTTTTCATTTCCATGAAACCACCTTTAATTTCCCCTGTATGTATCAGATATTCATTTGTCATAGAACAGTGAAAGACCTAGTGCACCACTTGACAAGAGGTCTTATTGCTTATGCATTTCTTCATTCATGTATGCTTTTAACCTAAATATATTGGTGCAATTCTGTGGGTCTCAAGCAGCAGTGAATATGATAAATGATTCATGGTCCAGAGGACAAATGTTCTTATCTTCTTTCTGAGGCCCATTGAACTACATGTCTTGTACTCTGACTTTAGATTAAGGGAGAAAAAGCTGCTATTTTTTACCCTCTCGGGCTTTGTGCTACTTCAACTTTTTAAATTAGTGGGTACTGAGGTTTAGAAAGCAAATTATTCATCTCTAATGATTTCTTTGTAGAGAAGGTTGTATGCCCAACCAAAGGCAGGAATTTCTTAAAATATTTTCTTTTAACTATGTATAATATTAATTATAACCAAAAATGTATCCAAATTGGGTGCTGGTTTTAGTAACCAAGACTAAAACTTAAAAGACTTGAACATGATGTTGAGATTCCTGTCTCTGACTGACTTCTGGATTCTTGATGTGTTTATATTCTATGTTTTGAAATTTAAAGTTAGGGACAGAAGAATGACAGAAAATGACCACCCTGAGATGCTCCTATCTGGTATATTCTTACTCAGTAATTTTCACGTCAGTATTCCACATGAAACATCTCAGTTTACTCTATCACAGTCAGGTCAATTTATAATAGGAAGAAGCAAAACCAGTTATCCCTTCTTAGTTCATTAGAAGAGAGCATTTAAGAGTTAGAACTTGTTTAAAACTTAATGGGCACCAAACATATGTGAAACAATGTCAGTGTCTACACTGTGTCTGGTGACTGATGTTAAAAAAATTCCTTTTGATTGTAATGGAAATGTTCGTATGTGTCCAGCAACAGGGGTGGTGTTTGTATTCTAGCTTCCATTCTAAATGACTTCAGTAAGGTCATTTTTTTTTTCTTAGAGGCTGAATTAATCATCTGTAAAATAAGAACCATAATAGTTACTCATCGTACAGGACTATCAAAATAATGCACAATAAAGTATTTAACCTTCACAAATTTGATCATGATGAATGCTGATCATTGCTGGAATACTGACATTATTAATCATATTCAAACCATTTGTGTATCAGTTGATATTCTGAAATTATTATAGTTCTGGATTTATCCTATATTGAAATACAATTCACTTAAAAACATTTTCCCTGCGGAATTTGAGAGACATAAATTTCAAAAGTGAATTTTAGCTTGAGCTCTTGATAGAAACAACCGTGTATGCCAGCAGCTCAGGGTGTCCTGTCATTCCATCAGACCCCCCTGAGGAGGTAGAGGTGAGACAATGGATCATACCCTGAACCCTCTGCTTTCCAGCGGTGTCCTCTGTCAAGCAGGAAGGCCATCCCACACCAGCTTATCACATTAGACACATGAGACTGTCCCAGTGACTCACAGAGGCACAACGAAGCCACAGTAAGATCCGAATATTGGGTGAAGGCAATGCCAATGGTATACTTCATCTTTCAACTTCTAGGACAAGCATGACTTCCAGGATTCTGTGAGGATAACTTTGGATTTTAATCTCACTGATCCAGAAAATGGGCCTGTTCTTGATGATTCTCTACCAAACTCGGTACATGAACATGTAAGTCAGATTTTGTTTAAATTCACAGTGCTGACCTGTGACTATATTAGGGGAAAAATGCCTAAAATCATAAGCATATATCCTTATATCAATTATGTATGTGTGTATAAGGAATTAGACTCTTCTGTTCTTTTAATCCTTTTAACTTCTATTGTAGAAGCTTACAGGAATAGTAAATGGTATCAATCTTTAGTTCATCTAAATTCAGGGTCAATTGAAATGAACCCCACCCCTTTGTATAATAAGCACTAGATTGTGGGGCTATCTAGGGGTGAAAGGTGTCCTCATGCTAACCTTGGATTTGGACCATAAACAACCAACCGGTTGTCAGCAGGGAAGATCCATCTCCAGCCTCCTTTGTGGGAGCTTGTTTCATAAAACTCAAAGAGTGAAAGAGCGAAGCATCAGGTCTTCTTCCTCTGAGTACATCGCAGCCCAAGAACAGAGGAGTGAAAAGGAACTGAACTTATTTCCCCAGCCTTGCTTCAAAGTCAGAGTCTAATGCCCCATGCCACAGTGGGGCAGCAAGAGAGAAAACCTTAGAAGTGACAAATTCGTATTCTGGATCCATCTTTCACTCTCCCTTTCAACCTTCCAAATGTCTTTATTGTCTTATACATACCAGACAGAGAACTAGGAATTAAGCTAGCAATTAGGTATTAACCACCAAGTAAGTCCTGTGCTATGGAGGAGAATTTCAGAGTTTCAAGCTCCGGAGTCAGGAAGAGTCAGGAGTCAGTTTCCCAGGCTCAGGACTCAGGAAGAACTCTCTGTAGTTGTGACATTGGAATTGAACAAGGGTGAGGGGAGACGAAGGCCCTCCTAGGCACTGGCGAAGTTGAACTACACTCGTTAGAGTGATGTAGGGTGGGACTGGAGGTGACGCAGGAGTGAAGTCTTTCAGGTCTTGCTGCCACCACATGACCTAAACAAATTAAAGAGCAGTGCAGTGCTGCTGAAGGTATGCATTTGGTTCAGTGATGGACCCAAATGTATATTTTTGGAGGATTATTTCAGCTAGAATATGGAGAATGATGGAAGGGAAGGAAGACTGGATACAGGAAAACAGCTAGTAAGCTGTTGCTTTAACTCAGGTAACACACAGAGAAGTGCGAAAGGACTTGGGACATATTTAGTGAATGAGGTAGGAAAGAAATAGTGCTTAGGATGAACTACATAATGGGGCTTAACAAGAAGAAACAAGTGAAGTTTCCAAATGCAGTTTGACTACTTCCCACCTCACTGAAGGACCTTCATGACATTCTCAAGTATTTGATTCTTTTCAGTTGAAAATCTCATAGTGAGAGTTAAGTAGAACTTGACCTGGATTTTTTTTTTAAAAAACTGGTATTCTCTCACAGGATAATGCCAATGTAAAATGTCCTTGAAAACTATATTCTTAAAAGGAATAGAAAAAAATCAGTATCTACAAGTGAAAGTGCATCCTTTTCCCTCCACAAAGTACAGGAATAATACATAAGTCCTTCAGACTGCAGTATAATCAATTCTCTTGAAGGTTGCTTAACTGACTTTTTGATACTATGCCATTTCCGTTACACAAATTGAGAGGTAATTTTCTACAAGGCTTAACTCCATTTTGAGATACATTTTACACGATCATTTCAGATTCCCTTCGCCAAAGATTGTGGAAACAAGGAAAAATGTATCACAGACCTCACCCTGGCTGTAACCACCACAGAGAAAGACCTGCTTGTTGTCAGGTCCCAGAGCGACAAGTTCAATGTCAGCCTCACTGTCAGGAACAAAAGGGACAGTGCCTATAACACCAGAACAATTGTGCAGTATTCTCCGAATCTCATTTTCTCAGGAATTGAGGTAAACCTGCACTTTTCCATTTATTTATTCTCCTAACAAGCATTGAACCTACTTGTCATATTGCAGAAGTACTTGCTTTTATTTTAGAATTTATTTAGAGTAAGAAAATGAATTTTGTACAAAATTAGTTTAGTGACAATGAAGCTATTGCTTAAAAAAAAATTTAAGCTCGGTGCTGGTGGCTCACACCTGTAATCCTAGTAATCCTACCTACTCAGGAGGTTGAGATCTGAGGATCACAGTTCAAAGCCAGCCCGGGCAGGAAAGTTCATGACACTCTTATCTCCAATTAACCACTAGAAAACTGGAAGTGGCATTGTGGCTCAAGAGGTAAAGCACTAGCCTTGAGCTGAGTTGCTGAGGGACAGCACCAAGGCCCACAGTTCAAGCCCCACAATGGACAAAAGAGAGAGAGAGAGAGAGAGAGAGAAGAGAGAGAGAGAGCTTTTTTACTTTCTTTGGAGATATATGTCTTTACTTAGATTCTGGATAGCAAAGGATAGCTAATATGTCAAAATTGAATGCTTCACAGAGTTATTCAGTCATTGACACTGGAGTTAAGAAAATAAAAATATAACAACTAAAATAAAACACATTCAACACAGGAGCAGAGACTTGTGTGCTGGAAAAAATAAATTACACGCAGAAAAATCAAGATATTTTTTCCCGCTGAGTTCAAACTTTTTACTTTGGCAGAATATTTCTAAGTGACTATATTTTACTGATTCATAGCAGAAGGGTTTTTTAAAAATATTTTGTCAAAAATGTAAGTCTCTAAAATGTTTAATTTGGCAAGAGCATGCATCTGTAAAAGTTGCTATATTAGAGTCAGTAGTATGTCTAAATTTGAAGTATGCATCTAATTCTTATCACTAGAAGAACCTCCTTAAGTTAAAATTGTAAATACACAGGTATAGATAGATATAGATAAATAGATATAGGAGATATGAGCTACTAATATATGATTTGTATTTTTTTTTTTTGTTCGGCCGTGGGGCTTGAACTCTGGGCCTGAGCGCTGTCCCTCAGCTCTTCAGCTCAAGGCGAGCGCTCTACCACTTGAGCTACAGCGCCACTTCCGGTTTTCTGGTGGTTTATTGGAGATAAGAGTCTCACGGTCTCTCCTGCCCGGGCTGGCTTTGAACCGCGATCCTCAGATCTCAGCCTCCTGAGTAGCTAGGATTACAGGCGTGAGCCACCAGCGCCTGGCTATGATTTGTATTTTAAAAGCAGTTCTGGCTGGGTGGTGTAGGTCAATGATAGAGTGATGTTCTAGCTTGCATGAGGCCTTCGCTTAATCCTCAGAACAGCAAAAGAATGCATGTGTACATAGTATTAAGACATTGTCATCTAGTACTCATAAATTCAGATTTTCACTGGTATTTTTTCATTTTTCAGGATATCACTTGAGACATGAAACTGAGACATATTTTATATAGTATATAGATTTTATTTTATATAGTATAGCATATTTTAGACTCAGAATCTTAATTATGAATGTGAAGTAGTTATATCCATGCAAAATATAAGTGCAAAGTAATGTTGAAGTATTTGTAAAAAAAAAAAAGTACTATGTTCAAAATCATTGCTTATGTCCTCTCTGACTGACTAAGGACTTCAGAAGAGAGGCAGTACAATAAAACCAACAGTGTACCTCCTCTACTTTTAAAAACAATAACAACAATAATTACACAGAAAATTGTGATGGTTTGAAATCATTGCCTTGTATTTGCTAGGCAGGGATTCTACCACTTAAGCTATGGCATCTATAATTTTGGCCTGTTATTTCAAATAGAGTCTCTGGGTATAAACCAGTTTGACTGGTCCACAGCCCTCCTATTTAGACTTCCCACATAGTTAAGAAAACACATGCATATCACCACATGAAACTTTTAGTTGGTTGAATGTTTGCCTCCAAATAGCTAGGATTACAGTTGAGAGCCACTGTACACTTTCTTGAGCTACGTTACATGTGAGGTATTATTTTAAAGATTTCCTCTATTTAATTTTCACTAGTTCTTTTAAAAATTAGATATTACCGTGTGTCAAAAGCCTGAAAAACTATTTTTCCACATGTTAACATTCCTGCAATTGAATTTTCCAGTTGATAGCCTACTTATTTAAGTGGCAACATTGTTTTTCCTTCTTACTGGTATATGGAGTAATGGTGTATCTCATGTCCAATGACATGTTTAAGATTGATGACATAGAAAACGAGGCCTAGAGCAGTGAGGTGGTGATAGATGAGAGCCCCTGATCTCACCCACTACACTAAACTCCTCTAAGCTCTAGACTCTCCGAGCACTGCTTTGTGTCATATAGCCTATGTGAGCCTGGGAGGTAGGTGACGTTAATGGTCTCATTTTTTCCAACCAAGTATTTAGGCAAGCCGGTGAGGTGTGCTTCATCTTCTTGGCACCCTCAAGTGATGTTTCCAGATTTCCAGAAGCTGTGGAACAGGTGGTCCCCAGAGTGTTATGACTCCTTCCTCTAAACTGAGCGAGAAATCTTGGCAAAGCCATTCCCTAAAGCACAGCTGGGGAAATTCTAAAATAAGTTCAAATGTTTCTCATTTCTCTGCTCTAATTGTTTACTTTCTCTCTCTCTAGGGGATCCAAAAAGACAGTTGTGAATCCAATCATAATCTCACATGTAAAGTTGGCTATCCTTTTCTGAGAACAGGAGAAATGGTGAGCAGATTATATAAAATCCATGGAGCAAATAGTTACAAAATGTAACACATTCAAGGCCTAATAGTAAATCCTTTGGATGATAATTTAGGGTCACATAGATGAAAAAGTTTCATTTTTAAAAATTGCAACTTGAGCCAGATACTGGTAGCTCACACCTATAATCCTAGCTACTCAGGAGGCTGAGATCTGAGGATCGCAGTTCAAAGCCAGCCCTGGCAAGAACATCCGTGAGACTCTAATCTCCAATAAACCACCAGAAAACTGGAAGTGGTGCTGTGGCCCAAGTGGCAGAGTACTCACCATGAGATGAAGAGCTCAGGGACAGCATCCAGGCCCAGAGTTCAAGTCCCATGACCAACAACAACAAAAAGAAAGCAACTTGAAATGTGCTATAATCTGAATGTTTGTGTCTCCCTAAAATCCATATGTTGAAACTTAATCCCCAAAGTGATAGTCCTTTGAAATGGGACCTTTGGGGTTAGGAGGACCAAGGAAGGTTCTTTGACTTTTCTCCCAAATGAGGTCACACAACAGACATGATCTGTAGAGGAGAACCTTGATCAGATGCAAAATCTACTGGTCCTTTGATCTTAGACTTCTCAGTCTCTAAAATTTGGAGCAATAAATTTCAGTTGTTTATAAATTAGTCAACATAAGGTATTTGGGTATAGCAGTTCAAACAAACTTATACACAATCAGAAGCCAAGTACTGCATGAGTCAAGACAAAATTTATAGTGGACAAATGGATAAACCACTTTACATTTCCACCAGCAATGGTTAGGGTTCCAGTTTCTCCACATTATTGAAGTCTTTTTTATTACATCTATTCTGGTATATTTGAAGTGATGTCTAATCATGTTTTTTTTTTTTTTTAATTTTTTTTTTTTTTTTTGGGTCCGGTCGTGGGGCCTGGACTCTGGGCCTGGGCGCTGTCCCTCAGCTCTTCAGCTCAAGGCTAGCACTCTACCACTTGAGCCACAGCACCACTTCCGGCTTTTTTCTTTTCTTTTTTTTTTTTTTTTTTGCTTATGTGGTGCTGAGGAATCGAACCCAGGGCCTCAGGCATACAAGGCAAGCGCTCTACCACTGAGCCACCTTCCCAGCCCTAATCATGGTTTTTTTTTTTTACTCCCTAATAATTAACTGTCTGTGACCATCCTTTACCCATTTTAAATTAGGTTTTCTTTGTTTATCATTATATTTTAGAGTTTCCTGTTATTTTACATTAAAGTCTCTTTTCAAGTATATGACCTATAAATTCTGTCAATTATCTTCCTCTGAAGGGCAAAAGTATTTAACTTTGATGTTGTCAATTCATATACTTAATCCTTTTGCCATTGTGCTTTTGGTTTTGTATCTAAGAATATTTTTTTTGCCTGATCCAAGGACACAATTTTTTTAATGTTTTCTCCAAAGAGTTTTGTGATTTGAGTTCCGATCCATTTTGAGGAACTGTGTGTATATGGTATAAACACAGTACAGCTCATGCTTTGCATATGGGTATCCAGCCCTCCCACACCATTTGAGAAAAGGCTAGTCCTTCACTACATTTCTTAACTTTCTTCTTCTCTTCAGTAAATTTTTGCTACTTGTAAAAGTTTAAGTCAAAGAATCTCTTATGTTATCCATAGGATAAATAACAAATATTTTTGGTGGATGGAGATTTTCAATGTAAGCATTTTAGAATCAGGTGAATATAAATAAGCAACTTCTTCAGGCCCACTTCTCTGCTAATTATCTTTCCCTATAGGCAAAATCTCATCAAGAATTCAAAGACTTGCACTGCCATGCTAGTCATGGGAGTTAAACAAAGACCAGGACAGGGGAGCCCACTGAGCCACCGAGACAATTTCACCTTTTGTATATTATAGTTCAAGCCATCAAGTAAAGCTTTTACTAGAATGGTGATTACTATCCCAAAGCAAGGGGAAAAACTGAAGAGTTTGCAATTCTTAAAATATATTTTTTCTTTTGAAAGAGAAGAAAATGCAAAAGGCAATTCTTTGTGACTAGTCATTCCTTCTCAGAATGGTGCCTAGATTGATTTCAAGAGCTATGGTTATCAAACCTTCTCTGTGTAGCACTTAATTACAAAGATAAAATTTTAGATATTTGTCATTCATTTTACATTTTTTTACTCTCTGTTTTTGCTGGTCCAAATTCCAAAATTCTTTGGTTTGCACAAAGTAAGACTTAATTCTGAGACCAAAGAAATGTAATTCTCTGGATCTAGAATATTGCAGATGACAAGCTTCTTTCAGTAAATAATTTAGATATGGTCTGCCTGTTGTTTGTCAAGAGTCTAGGATCATGTTCAGATTTGGTTTATCAAAAAGCTGCTCCCTATATCACAGAGATTGCATGACATTTTTAATTTTCTAAGTATTATCTTAACTATACAAATTTCAAAAGCAAAATTCCCTTTTTAAAATTATAATTTGAACTTTTTCTAAATAGCTAAGACTTCGGTATCATTTTCTTATTGTTATTCTTCAGTGGTCCGTGCACTTTTTTTAAAGTATAGATTAATGGATCTAAATATATTTTTCTCTATTTTATAATAAATACATGTCAATGTTCGTTGGTACTTAAACTTTCTATATTAAAGAGGCTTCATTTGTGACCATGTGACAATTATGTTTACTATGATGATTTGGTAAGCTGTGGTAATATAATAAAATAAATGAGCTGTACTTTTGTGATGATGGACTGTGGCATATAACATTTGCTAATGCTATTTGATAAAGTGCTTACATTTTATACCATCATGTGACATGATCACACAACGGTGTGTAAGTGAGGAATTTACTTCTCACAGCTATGGAGCTGAGAAGTCCAAGATCAAGACCATAGCAGATGCAGTATGTGGTTGGAAGCATCACTTTGCTTCTGGCTGCATCCTAAATGGCGGAAGGGAAAAGGAGAATTTTAGGGTTTCTTTGATGAGTCCTATCACATGGCCCTCATGATTTAATCTCCTATAGAAAAGCCCAACCTCTTATCCTCTTAACATTAGCCATTCAGTTTCAGCACATGAGTTCTGAAGGGACTTGGAACATTCAGACCATAGTAATAGACAAAGCATATCCCATATTCACCGGTCAAAACACCATTGTGTGTCGTATCTAATTCTTTGTGTTCCTGACTTGAGGATGCATTTTGTAAGATAATCTTTCTGAAATAACTTTATAACTTGTGCCAGTCATTTAAATAAGCTGAATGTTTGAATCAGAGTTTAACATTTTATCTGTTACTAATGATATATATTTTTATTTCATAGGTAACTTTCAAAATATTATTTCAGTTTAATACATCATATCTCATGGAAAATGTGACCATTCATTTAAGTGCAACAAGGTTGGTTTATGTGTGTGAAGACATATATGCCTTGTGTGAATTTCTCCCGTGTAACTAAGATATGTTACCTTATGAAGTTACTGGCAGAAAAATTCCATGTACCACTTTACTTCAAACAAACGTCCTTATAAGTCATGGACAAAAATAAGGAAATTCTCATTAAATAGAAATAATCAGTTGTATTAAAACATTGATTATATAAAGTATAGAACATAATATAATCACACAAAACTTACATGTACCAAAGTCCATTTATTTCAACAGAATCAGCTCATCTTACAACTTTGACTGGCAGCCAACAAGATCAATTGATGATGAACTTAAAATCTTGTGACATCTTTTGTAGTTTAGTAGATTTTACCCATATCAGCCAAAGCTTCTTAAAGTTATCCTAGAACACGTGGACTAAAAACAGCAGGTGGCTCATAAGGAAATAGAGATATAGATTAACTTTCTTCTAAGTAGAAGGATCCACTGCACCATCATCAGGAAAGGTCAAATCTTATCTTGGTTGTTTTATTTCCAGTAACTAGCATAGTGCCTACGTATTATACTCATTAAGTCAGTGGAGAATAAATGAACAAATGGGAGAAATGAATTCATAGATAATTATTTCTGCATATTCAGTTTAATCTAACTCAGCAAGTATTTATTTGATATCTATTGTGGGCAAGGTATTGTGTTAGTCACTATAAGAAATATAAAAATAATTAAAGACACAAAAATTCTCACAGGTGAATATTACAGTAGGAGATTTAGACTAACATACAAATTATTATAATATGTAAGAAAGTAAGGAAAATCCATTGGAGATATATAAATCATGTGTCAGAGGTTCAATTAGTGGAGAATGAAATTGTACTTATTGGTCAATGAAACACATAAAGCTTTAATAAGAAAATGTAATCAAAAATAACCTTAAAACATGAATAGTGTTACACAGAAAGGTTGGATTTTAGGATTTGGTAGAATATTTTCAGGAAAAATAAATAGATTGAGCAGATACTCAAAAGATACACGATTGTGTATCTTGACCTATCTGGAGTAATCAGTTTTAGCTGAAACAAGGAATAGAGAAGATACTAATGGGAAGTAAACAAGAAGTATGCATTCTACCATATAATACTACATACTGGACATCAATATAAAGAAAATTGGTCTTGATGGAGCAGGACTGGACATATTAGAAAGTTTTTGAAGAATAAAATCACGTTATGAAGGTTAATTTCACACACTACAGTACACTGTGGGATAGCTGAATGAGAATGGTACCCATCATTCATACTTAGAGTTCAGTCACAGCTATGCCCATGGCAGTCAGCATGCTTCATTCCCTGCCCTGTTCACACCAGGCAGGCTACTGTATGTACTTGGGAAGAAGCAGAGCCATCAAGAGTACTCAGTGCCCATTCTGTAACACTGTATGCTAGGTATTTAATTAGTTGCTAGAGATCTGTATGACAACAACAACAATAATAAAATCTAACCCTTTCTTATTGTTATCGTACATCCTAAATACAATATTAAGTGCTTTACACTGATTGGCCATTTAGTCATCATTTATTACAAAGCCTATGCAAAAGCCTGTGATGGTTTGTGTTCCAAACACAAATTCTTGGTGCTCAACTTGAACCAAGTAAATATACATAAGCACAGTAAGCTGAATGATGTAGTGGGGCTCACCATTTCAGTCACAGACTTCTGAGAAATGTGAGGTTAGGTCAGTGTGATTTCAACTGTAGCTACACATCAGAATCAACATGGGAATTTTCAGTAATGCTTATCTCTTGCTTCCTTACTCGCCCTAATTAAAAATAAATAAAAATTCAAGAATTGTGAATATAACCTCTTTTGAATGCTTAGAATTGTCTCTAACCAGACAAGGTGAATGATTGTTTGAATGCATTGTCTGGTTTTCAGTGACAGTGAAGAGCCTGCTGAATCTCTTTCTGATAATGGAGTTAATATTTCTATCCCAGTAAAATATGAAGTTGGACTACAGTTTTACAGGTAGGAGGAAACGATGCCTTTCTGTTAATCAGATGCTTCCCAATGAGTGGTCTGTGGCCATCACCTGAGAATAGATTAGAGGCAAGTTTTCCAGCCCACCCCAGGCCAGCTGAGCCAGAACCTCTGGGAATGATGCCCACCATCCTTGAGGAATATATCTTCCAGGTTAATTCTCACATATACACTACATGACTCAAAATATGAGGGGCTAGTGATACTGGATTGCATTAGCAGCTAGTCTTCACACCCGAATGCAAAATCAAAGACCTAGGAGTCCTTTACAAAACACAAAGCTATCCAAGAGATCACACTGTATTTCTTGGCCACTGGTTGCCAATCATGGGATCTTATTAGCCTGACTATACAGAATACACCGATTAAAACATTTCTTATTCATGATCTATTTATTTCTTTCACTATCCATAAACCATTCTTTCTCTTAAGAGCTTCTTTTTTAATTAAGTTTTTATTGTGAAAATACTGTACAAAGGGGTTACAGTTACATGAGCAAGGTAATAAGTACATTTCTTTTCCAACATTGTTGCCTCCTCCTTTGTTTTTCCCCTACCAACCCTTCCCTCCCACCTCCTCAGCTATACCCACCTCACCCCCCATCCCCTCCTAAATAGTAAAGTTCGTTTTTTGACACAGCATCTTGTACATCTCATTGTTGCAATGGGTCAATCTGTATCCCTATTTAAACAAGTTGTTTTTTTCCATTCCCCTCCCCAAATTATACCAACATCAAATACAGTAAATAACAGAGGTTATATCATGGAGGAAGGACATACAAAGCAACAAAAAAATCATCTTATAAATAAGTTAGAAATAATAGCAAGAAAGAAAAACCACTTGAGTCCTTATCTTGGGGTTCATTTTGCCTAACATCATCTTATCTGACCTATTCCACTTGTCTCAGACATATACTAGTTATTGCAAATAAGGGAAACCATGGGACCTATGTTTCTTTGAGCCTGGGTTACTTCATTTATTATAATTTTTCCATTTCATAACAAATGGGGCAATGTCATTCTTTCTGATGGAGGCATAGAATTTCATTGTGTATATCTACCACATTTTCTTGATCCATTCATCTACTAAGGGGCATCTGGGTTGGTTCCATAGCTTAGCTATGGTAAATAATGCTGCAATAAACATAGTTGTGCTGGTAGCTTTAGTATGGTCTTAAGAACTTCTTATTTACATGGACCTACCCAAATACAAATAATGTTGAAACTTTATATAAATGCCATTGCTTCATCACAACTGTAAGCTTTTGATAGGTATGCATAATGTATACAAAAATGTACAGAATTATTGAATATTTCCACTTAGTCTACATATCATCACTTATTTTCTTTTTCACTCATGGTGAGTATTGTACCACTTGGGCTGATTATTTGAAGATAAGAATTTGCCTTGGCTGGCACCAAGCCTCCTATATAGCAAAGAATATAGACATAAGCCACCAGCACCCAGACCCATCATTTATTTTCTGTGACCCCTATCTTTACTAATAAGAGACTGAAAACTGAGGATTACAGGCTGTAAACATATATATTGCTTCTATTCCTTAGCATTTAACAAGTGTTGTCAGTTTTATATTTTCCTATATCTACTTCTATCAGTACAAAGTTTATTTTCTTAGTTTTCCACTTCCTGAAATCAAATTCTAGCTAAAATTTTAAAATCCTTTTTTTCTTGACCAAAGTGCTCCTTTAACTTATGTGCTTAAGTTATACTAAGTTCCTATACAGAGAAGATTGAACTTTTTAAGTTTAGCAATAAATACAGGATTTTTAATTTTTAAAAATAAACATATTTAACACCTTGTTAAAATTCAGTCCTATCAGAAATGTCAAAATTTAGTTTGATTTACCATTGAATATAAGTGGTAGTGAATTTACAGAAACTTTTCACTTGTTAATAATATTAAAGCCACCAATACAACTATGTTTATTGCAGCATTGTTCGCCATAGCTAAGATATGGAACCAACCCAGATGCCCCTCAGGAGATGAGTGGATCAAGAAAAATGTGATTATATCTATCTACATATACACATTTATGTGTATATATACATATATATATAGGAATTCTATGCTTTCATCAGAAAGAATGACACTGCTCCATTCATAAGGAAATGGAAAGACCTGGAAAAATTCATATTAAGTGAAGTAAGCCAGACCCAAAGAAACATAGGTCACATGGTTTCCCTTATTTGCAATAATTAGTATATGTCTAGGATAATTTTAGCAGATGAGCAGAATAGCTCAATCACTATGCATACATATGACCATATAAGATGGTCCTAAGGGAAATGAACTCCAAGACATGGAGACAAGAAGTTTGTCTTTGTTATTGGTGGTGGTGCACTATGTGATTTTTTTTGTTTCTTTTGTATGTTCTTCCCCCTATGGCATATGCTCTATTGTTACTGTAGTTGATTTTGGTACCCTGGTATTGTATATAGGTTTATTTGAATTGAGGAAGGAAAAGGGAACAAAAGAATAGTGAGACACAGGACAAGGGGGGACCAATGCAACAGCGACATACACAAGACAATATGTTGGAAATGATCTGCACAACTTAGGGGGCTTGTAGGGGGGGAAGTAGGAGGAAATTGAGGGAAGGGGTAACAAGGTTGACAAAAAATGTGCTCATTACTTATGTAACTGAAACCCCACTGTATCTCACCTTGATGATAAAAAAGAAAAAAAACTCATATAGCCTAGTGTTTTAGGATCAAAATAGTATCAATTACTATTGAACTAAATTTTATAATTATCCTCTTCTTCCTCAAAGATTTAATTTTGCGTGATGCAGTTAAAATAATTCTCTGATTTGAACTCTATTAAGTATACCTGGTATGTAGAAAGAAAGAACGAGATTGAGTAAAAGTTACACTTTTTTCATTTTACTTTTAATTTTCTAATTAATTTTCTTAAGCTCTGCAAGTGAGTATCATATTTCAATTTCGGCCAATGAGACAATCCCTGAAGTTATTAATTCCACTGAAGACATTGGAAGTGAAATTAATATTTTCTACATGGTAAGGAAGTTCCTTCATATTAATATTCTGACAAGTTATATGTAAATTCTTAAATTAAGGCATTAACTGACACTAAGAAATATACTTCAATATTTAATCCCTATATCACTATTTAAAAATATTTTACTTAAGGATTATTATACTTTGAATCAACTTTAAAAACCCAAGTCTCTAATTTCCCTATAAAAAGACTTAACAATTAAGATGATTTTCTAGAAAAAAATCTATATAACCAAGTAATTAATAATGCTAGATATAGACTTTATATTACTTTTAATATAATTAAGAAAGACATATTTTAAGTAATTAAGACCACTAAGGGTATAGTTCAAATGGTAGAGAGCTTGACTACCATATACAAGGCTCTAGGTTACAACTACCATGTCACTAAAAATATAATTATTACTATTTCAAAAACAGATGATTTAAAAATTCTCTTATTAGTATTTTCTTTATTCGACCATTAAATATCTCATTCCCCCTTCTCTGTGGAGTGATATAATATAAATTAAAGAATTTTCCAGAGCTCCAATATTGCACCTGGCTAGCGTGCGGTACTTAGAAGAATTTTCCTTTAGGTGAAACCCAGTAACTTTCAGATTTCAGTGACCTTCCTGGTAATGTTGTTTGCAATAGTTTAAAAACTGAACGTAAGCATGAAATAGAAACTTAACAAAGTGAACCTACTTAACTTCTATATTCTGTGAAGACAGTATCATATAGTGAATGCAAAGACAATGTATGGCAATATTATAGAGGGTATATTTTGGAATGAGAAATCCTGATTCAGTGCTTTTCTAGCCGTATGATCTTAGAAGGTTTTTACTCTCCTTTGACATTGTTACCTTATAGATAAACCAGAGACAAGGGAATCTATCTTTTTGGATTATTGACAAGGTCAAGAAAATAATGTTACTAAAATGATTAGTGACTTGTAGCATATAGTTAACAACAAATGTTTTTATATGGTGGTTGTTATTTAGCTATTAACAGTCATATTTTTAATGAATCTGCATGGTTTATATCATAATCAATTTTATACACAGTACATAAATTTTTGTTTTTATACAATGTTATAAAATGAATATGGAAACTTTCATTATACTCCATTATATTTTCTGGTTTTTTTAGTAGTTTACAATGGTTTTGACTGGAACCCATTTTACTAGGGAAAAAATGATCATAGCAAATATATAATGTCTGACTATCAGGAAACAGGTGGGGTTTATCTGGAAAGCCATTCTAGGCAAGCCCAGGGCATATTACTATAAGATAGTCAAGAAACATGTTTATATTTAACGTTAGAACCAGCTTGTCAGGAGTCCCCAGAATCGTGAGATTAAGAGATATGTATTCAATGTTCAACAATCACAGGGAATTTCTCCAGACAAAGCAGTTTTTAGTCTAGCAAGCTTAGTTAGGTATGTAGTGGATTTCCTCAAAATCAGACTTCCAACTCAGCTAATACAAATTTTCAAATGTGCTTTAGAAAGGATTGGGAGCCTGCAGATGATGATTGTGTGGCATAAGGGTAGCCCGCTGTACCCAGTACCCCAACTCAATTGCTCTTTCCAAGCAGGCAAGGACTTGTGGATAGTGAGTTCTGTTTTCTCTGGATTTCATCCTGTCCACTGTTCCCTACAAACTTACATTCATCACTGATAGAAGACTATGATATTGAGGATGCTCTGTTAGTAGGTAAAACAAAAGGAGATTGAGCTGTAAACTAACCTGACTCTTCAGATCAAATTATCAAACAGCCATTGACAGCAGCCTTTGCTTGAGGACAAAATTGTGAAGGGAAAAAGACACTATGTGATTTCCCTGAGCAGTAGAAGGAGGTCCCATCTAGCCAAGGTTAGAAATGATTGAGGGCTTTGGGGAATTATGACTAACTGAACTAAGGTAAGCAAAAATAAGTTAAATTGTTCCATGTCGATTAGGTAAGTGGACTTTCTGATTCCCACAAACCCTCTTATGTTAGAAAAGATGTTGGGCATGTCAAGAAAATAAGGAGTCAGGACAACTTTTCAATTCTGATTTTCTGTTTATTCTGATTTTATTCTGATTTTTCATTTATTCTATATTCGAGTGGAGAATGGAAAAACAATGTGATTTATAGGTAATACACGTTGCCAACAATAGATTATTTTCTTGCTGGTTAAATTAAGCCAATTCCCTAGGCAGGGTCATAAACTGTGTTCATTTAGGGAAATCAAAATTTTATACAACTTAATGAATTAAAAGCCAACATCTTTCATAAAGTGGACAGGAAGCTGTTGAAGGATAATGGTTTATGATTTTTCTTCATCTTTTTTTAAAAATCTCTGTAGATTAGAAAAAGGGGACATTTTCCAATGCCAGAGCTTCAGCTGTCGGTTTCATTCCCCAATTTGACGTCTGATGGTTATCCTGTCTTGTATCCAACTGGATGGTCCTCTTCCGATGTGAGTCACGAGCACATTGTAATCATGGCATTTCTGTTGACCTCCTCCTTTACAATTCAGCCTTTTATTCTGCACTTCCCTTGTGGTGGGTTGATCTAAGTAACATGGAGGGTCATTTGGAAATTTTAAAACAGTAATAACTTCCACTGGTTATTTAGTAGGTAAAATAATTCTCTAGGACTGCTATAACAAATTACCAAACATTGGTGGTTAAAATTCATGGAACTGGGGGCTGGGAAGGTGGCTCAGTGGTAGAGCGCTTGCCTTGCTTGCCTAAGGCCCTGGGTTTGATTCCTCAGCACCACATAAGCACAAAGAAAAAAGCCAGAAGTGGTGCTGTGGCTCAAGTGGTAGAGCGCTAGCCTTGAGCTGAAGAGCTGAGGGACAGCTCCCAGGCCCAGAGTTCATGCCCCACAACCGGACCCCCCAAAAAATAAATAATTCATGGAACTTCATTCTTCACAGTTCTGAAGGCCAAAGGTCCAGAATGAGGTGTCAACTCAGTTGGTTCCCATAGAAATCTAAGGAGAATTTGTTCCATGCCTTCTTTCCTAGTTTCTGGCGGCTGCTGGCAACTCAGTGCTCCCTGACTTCCAGCAGCCTAATTTCAGTCTCTGCCTCTGTCTTCAGGTGGCCTCCTTCTCTGAATTTCCATGTGCTCACCTCTTCTGTCTCTGTGCATTTTTGCACACTCATCATGGGATTTAGGGCCCTTGAAATCCAAGATCCTTTCATCTAATGATCTTTAATTGAATTACCCCTGCAATGATTCTGTTTCCAAATGAGATTAATTTCACAGGTTCTGGGTGTTCCAACTTGGGTAAATCTTTTTGAAATCAATATTCAACCCATCAGAGTAGATATTAAAATTATTAATTACCAGTTTTTACCTGAAATCAACCACTTGAGTCACAATTCCACTTTAGGCTTTTTGCTGGTTAATTGGAGATAAGAGTCTCATGGACTTTCCGCCCAGCCTGGTTTCAAACTACTAGCCCCAGATCTCAGCCTTCTGAGTAGTTAGGGTTATAGGCATAAGCCCATTGGTGCCCAGCTGTTTGATACACTTTTAATTTGTTTGAGGTAGTCAAGTAATTCTGTATACTTTCCCGTTACTCCTAGATACATATAGCTGCATATAAAATAATAGAATGCTGGTTAATTACTGTAAACAATAGCAATATTGTACCCCCTGTATTTGTTCAGTAAGATTTTATGCCAGTTAATTATTATCTAGTGCTAAAACAGTAAGTATCCAATTAATGCATGCACAATTTTGGCATTTAACTATGTCTCTTTTCTACAGTTTTAAACAATAAGTATTCTCTACGATTAATGTATTATATGCATGCATGAAACTGTCATAATAAAACCTATTATTTTGCACACTGAAATCATACTAACAAGAATCGTTTAAAAATTATTCTTGGAAACATTAAATAGCTACAGTAAAACTTATTTTGTAATCATTTATGTTTTCCTAAGAGCAAGAGAAAAATAAACCTCTGGAATTTCCCTATAATTCCCTCAAAGAATCCATCTGATGAAAAAAACTAACTTTTCAGTTGAGTTTCAAATTTTTTTTCTCTTGGTATGATGAGAATTTACAAGCTAATCTTTGAAGAAAACAATAAATTAAGGAGGATTCTACTCATAAAACAGTGAATCCTATTTGCATCCTCTCTTTTCCATAAGACACTCCAACACAACTCAAAATGCTGTGGTAACAGTTATTATTTTTGGAGGGTGTAAGATGGAAAACTATGGCCTCTGCCTCACAATTTCTTCCATCCTGCACAGCACAAAGATGCATCTTTAACATATGGCACTGCTTGTCAATATCAGCTTCTTCGTGTTACTGAATTCATTTGTTTTCCTTTGACATTTGGCAATGGCTGATAAGAGAAATGTTTTCATTTCTTAGAATGCAAACTGCAGACCCCAGAGTCTTGAGGATCCTCTTGGAATCAACTCTGGAAAGAAAATGATCATATCAAAGTCGGAAGATCTCAAACGAGGCACACTGCTGGTAAACTGAGTGTGATTTTTACCTTATGTGTTCTTTCCAAGTGGAATGTGTTGATCATCAACTTAGGAACAACCATTTGAAGTATTTTAATATAGAATGTTGGATTCAATGTTAGCAATACTAATATGTACCTCTACACATTGACACAGGACTGCAGTACGTGTAAGCTTGCTACCATCACATGCAATCTTATCCCTTCTGACTTGAGCCAAGTGAACATTTCACTCATCTTGTGGAAACCAACTTTTGTAAAAGTAAGTAGTTCTGTTGTTCTATGCAATTACCAAATCAAAAAAACAAATATTCATGTATCACGTTACTTCGTATGTGTTGCACTGCCCAGATGAGGCTGGCTATGCCAGAGAATATGATCTAAGCCAAAGCTCTGCATTTCATCTTCTCTGTGCATTAATAGATAAGTTAGCTCCAACATCCTCTTGCAGATATAGAGCTATTGTCTCAACCATACCATAGGAGAAAAATACCTGTCCACCACTAACCTTGTATCATTCATTGTTTATCCCTCTCTTTATCCCTATGACAATCCTTGACATCATTAGCAAAGGGCAGAGCTAGCATCTATTACGGATCTGTAAGACACCGTAAGAACTGGAGTTTGACTGTATGCAAACATACTTTAAAAGATAATTGACTCATTCCTGATGAAGCCAAACCTATCTAACAACAAACTACTTTAAAATTTATATTTTATTTATAGGGCTGGGGAGGTAGCTCAGTGGTAAGATGCTTGCCTTGCATGGATGAGGCCCTTGGTTCAATTCCTCAGCATCACATAAGCAGGAAAAGCCAGAGTAGTACCATGGCTCAAGTAGTAGAGCCCTAGCCTTGAGCTAAAGAGCTGAGGGACAGCATCCAGGCCCAGAGTTCAAGCCCCACGACTGACAAAAAAAATATTTTATTTAGTATTTTTATTTTTCTCTAAAGAAATGAAGACACCATTTTTTAATCATATGGTTGCTGTTTTTTGTAAGTCATCAAATGTTGGATAGTGGCAATTTTATACTTAACATAGATAAGTGCCAACTTTGTTACCAGCATTTAGCTATTTTATGCCTAACTGTATTACAAGTAGGCAGAGGTGGAGGTTTGTTTTTCAAAGAAAAAATCTGAGTGGAAATTGTTTAATTTTTTTTTCCTATTCTATAAAGCCTATTCTTAACAAGGATCTCAGTGTGGACTAGTAAGAAATGCTAAGAAAGGATGATGAATGCCCAGGCATCGGTTTCCACATATCAGTGGACAATGACAGTGTTCGTGACTCTCAGGGGGAAAAATGACCAATTTAATAACCACTCCTCAGATACAGCCAACTCTCATTTTGATTCACCTAATTTGTTAAAAACAATAACTCTAATCTGCTTTTCAGGCACATTTTTCCAGCTTAAATCTGACAATCAGGGGAGAACTTTGGAGTCAAAATGCATCTCTGGTTTTAAGTAGTAGCAACCAAAAAAGAGAGGTAAGTCCCACTGCCTGATTTGAAACCCTGATGCATTTCACCCATGTGCATTTGTGACACAATGTTTTATAATTGTACGTAGTCTCACTGCACTGTCTGGTTCATCTTTGTGCAAGTGACAGCTACCATTTGCTTTCCACTTCATTAGCTTCAAATATGGTTTCAGTCTTATTCTTCGTTGTAAGAAAGTGAGGAAATGATAGTATTTACAAGTAACCTGCCACGTTTGAATTTATTGCTTCCAACTGTCATAGTAACTATTGCAGGTTGTTTTCATTTTCAGCTTGATAGAAAATGCTGCATTTATGCTTTTACCTTCTTTAAAAACTGATAGTATAAAATGCAACTGATGTCTGAAGAACAGATATGGAAAAATAATTTCCTTTTGCAGTGCCTTTTATACTGTACAGGAAAATGTGTGAACTTTTTAATGTTTCCTGTATTTGGTCACTGGTAAATTTGAAACTAACAACAAGAAATGTTAGAGATTCAGGCTGAGTCCTGAATTCAAGTTTGAGTGTTTCCCCACTCTTGTCCTTTTATGAAATAAAGCCCAAGTAGTAGTTATAGATCAAGGTATGTAAGTGTGATTTCCCCTCTAGTCCTGGAGAATTTAATGATCTCATGTGGATAAAAAGCTTCCAAAATTCAATTTGGAAGCTGTCTATGATTCCGATGCTATTGTACAATTACCTGTTGCCAACCATTTCGATGTCAGTGATCGCTGATCACTACACAGTTCTAGACACAAAGAAGATACATACACAAAATGCTTATCATAAAGAGCTCTTGGCCCATCAATGCAAAATGAAAAGTCAATAGAAAAGTCAACAATTCACAAACATCTTTTTAAATAATATATGTATGGATTTTATTAGAGGAGAAGCATTTTTGAGTCCTGAAAATGTTGTCTTTAAAATGTTATAATTTTTATAATGTATTTTAACAATGTGGTTTTTCCTGAATGTTAATTACAAATGCCCCTGTAGACATTTATTACACACTAATGGAAATTTCAACCTATATTGATAAAATTACCAAAAGTGCTCATTTTCTAATCAAGATCTCTGTAGATCTTGCCTTTATCTAGACTCCATATCCACATCTTAATTTCAGGACAATGTTACAGACATGGTTAAAGTCTACCTCAATAGTCTGAATCTGTACTATTATTACCTTCTTCAGATTCCTGTGGCATAGGACTCAGAACAGACAAACTCCCATAAGGTTAGGACACCACACTGAGAGGTCAGAAGAAGCTAAAAGCTACTGGCAGCTGCCTGTTTCACACTGAAGTCCACTTAAGTCCTAAATTATAAGTGACTGAGTGATGAGTCAATTAGAAGAGACAGTATAGTACCATTAAAAGCACATTTTTTTTTTTTAATTTTTTTGTCCGGTCGTGGGACCTGAACTCTGGGCCTGGACGCTGTCCCTCAGCTCTTCAGCTCAAGGTTAGCGCTCTACCATTAGAGCCACAGCGCCACTTCTGGTATTTTTCTTTTTGCTTATGTGGTGCTGAGGAATCGAACCCAGGGCCTCATGCATGCAAGGCAAGCGCACTACCACTGAGCCACCTTCCCAGCCCCTAAAAGCACATTTTGATAGCTATGCATATATGTGCTGGAAATGTGTGCATTTTATTGCATGAAGATTGTATTTTCTTATCATTTGCATCATAGCCCATTTGAATTAGAATAGAGAGGTTTTGAGTTTAACAATCTGTGACATTCCAGCCTAAATTGAAGCTACTGTGATAATGAACAAGACAACCTTTGGAATATAGTACTGTGGTTTTTCTGAGTTAAAAGGAAATCTCCTGCCTCAGAGCATTAAAAATCCCTTCTTCGAAAAGGAGAGGGTAGAACTAAAGGTCTGAACTTGGGGCTTTGTGCTTGCCAGGCAAGTATTATGACTTGAGCCACACTTCTTGTCCCTTTTGCTTTAGTCATTTTCTAAGTAGGGTCTAGCATTGTTTCCTGGGCAAGTTTTGGATCACAATCCTGCTGTACATGCTTCCCAGTTACCTAGGATTCCACACAGGCATCACTGCACCTGGCTTGTTGGTTTTTTTAAATTTTTGTTGTCGTTGTTGTTGTTGTTGTGGGGTATGGGGCTTGAACTCTGGGTTTGGACGCTGTCCCTCAGCTCTTCAGCTCAAGGCGAGCGCTCTACCACTTGAGCTACAACACCACTTCCGGTTTTCTGAGTGTTTATTGGAGATAAGACTTGGGCTGGGAAGGTAGCTCAGTCGTAGAGCGCTTGCCTTGCATGCCTGAGGCCCTGGGTTCGATTCCTCAGCACCACATAAGCAGAAAAGGCCATAAAAGTGGCACTGTGGCTCAAGTGGTAGAGCGCTAGCCTTGAGCTGAAGAGCTGAGGGACAGCGCTCAAGCCCAGAGTTCAGGCCCCATGACTGGACCCCCCAAAAAAAAAAAAGAGTTTCACAGACTTTCCTGCCCAGGCTGGCTTTGAATGGTGATCCTCAGATCTCAGCCTCCTGAGTAGCTAGGATTACAGGCATGAGCCACGGGTGCTCGGCCTGGCTTGTTCTTTAAAATACATTCTCATTAACTTCTGATGTGGCTGGCTAGAACTGCAATCCTCTTATTTCTGCCTTCCACGTAGGTTGGATTATAGGCACAAGCCACTATACTGGATGGACAATTCTATGTATGAGATCCTGGAAAATAAAATATTAAGTAATTTTCAGTGATAGGAATACATTTGAGGAGATTTAGAAGATATTGAAGGGCATATTCAAATGCAAACCCAATGTTTCCTCTGTAAGCAATAGTGAGGTTAAATATGTTGTTAGTAGAAAAATATAGCCTGCAAGAACTCAGAGTTCTAGTTTGAATGAGTGTTTATCATGTTAATGGTCTTGTTGAATAATTTTCAGCTTGCTATTCAAATATCCAAAGATGGACTCCCAGGCAGAGTGCCACTGTGGGTTATTCTCTTGAGTGCATTTGCCGGGCTGTTGCTGCTGCTCTTGCTGATACTTCTTCTCTGGAAGGTAAGCCCCAAAGTCCCTTTACCTCTATTCTTGTCACCAGCAAGCTGAGGAACTTACCTAGGTTGTGAGATGTATGTCATAATAAAACGAACTTTGAAATAACCAAGATAAAATTTTAAAATAATATTTCATACAGAGTGTACAACTTCATTTTACTTTTAAAAAGAAAAATATAGAACCTATTTTGAGATAGACATATGCAATAAATCAATGGGGGATCTCTCTGGAGGTTAAGATTATCAATGAATGTTTAATAATTTTTAACATCTATATTACTTTTTAAGCAGAGAATAATGGAAACCCCCTTTTATAAAAAATAAAATTTGAACTCTTATATAACTTTAAGAACATAAAAGCATCAAGCTTAACTAAATCACAGGACTCTGTATCTTAAATACTAAATACTTCTAATATATAAGCAAGCATACCACATTTTATGCAATACTTGTATACGTGATGGTTGATTTACTGATTCATTGATGTAAGAATGCTCTTAAAGTTTCTAAGACTCCTGTTTCAAATCCTTTCATGAAATTAAGTGATTCTGTTTTCTGTCCAGTTAGTCTGGACATTTACATAGGTATTTTGTTTAAGCTGAGAAGTTTAAAACTTTACAAACAGCTGTATAAAACTTTTCAAACAGCCAGGTGCCAGTGGCTCATGCCTGTAATCCTACCTACTTGGGAAACTGAGATCTTAGGACCGAGGTTCAAAGCCAGCCCAGGCAGGAAAGTCCTGAGTCTCTTATCTCCAATTAACCACCAGAAAACCAGAAGCGAGACTGTGGCTCAAGTGGGAGAGCCCTTGCCTTGAGCTGAAGAGCTCAGGGTCAGTGCCCAGGTCCAGAGTTCAAGCTCCAGGACCACCAACACCACCAACACCAACACCAACACTAACACCAACAACACTAACACCAACATTTTTTCAAACAATCTGGGATAGTAGCTTTGGCAATCCATTTAGTGAAGAATAAAATCCCGTAGAAAAGTTGAACTTAGGGCTGGGAAGATGGCTCAGTGGTAGAGTGCTTGCCTTGCATGCCTGAGGCCCTGGGTTTGATTCCTCAGCACCACATAAGCAAAATGAAAAAAGCCGGAAGTGGCGCTGTGGCTCAAGTGGTAGAGCGCTAGCCTTGAGCTGAAGAGCTGAGGGACAGTGCCCAGGCCCAGAGTTCAGGCCCCACAACCGGACCCAAAAAGAAAAAAAAAAAAAAAAAAAAAAAAGAAAAGTTGAACTTAATGCTTCTTCGAATTAAATATAAAATCATCACATATTCTAGCATAATACATTCCTGTGTTTTACTCCTTGTTAAATGGTTGAACAATGTTGAAATAGAGATTATAGCTACACATGTGTTTTTCTAATACATGACCAACCAATCACTTAAAAAAAATAAAATGGCAGCTTTCTCTCCCAACAGATTACACGTGGTTTCTTCAGTCTTTTGTTATTCTTCTACAATGACTAACGTTATCTTTGGGGTGTGACTACTAGAGGAAAATGCCAGCAAGCCTATGCTGAAGATAGAGACAAATGACATTCATTTCAGTTGACATTTAATTCAGTTGGTAGTCTCCCTGGTCTTTCTCTAGCAAAGTCCCCAAAACAGAACCCTCAAACATTCAATACTCAGTTCCTCTGAAGTCAGACACCGGTGTTCTGTAATGCCTGGCTTTGCCACACCGTGGCACTCAAGGCCTATTCATCTGACAGGAAGTACTTTCTTCCTTTATGAGCGCCTCTCCAATAGACCAAGCTGATGATTTCTTTTGGTCTGGTTTTTGGTGGGAGCATTCCTTTTGCTGGAATACTTTTAGGAAATCATTGTCAAGAAAAGAGAAAAGGCAGAGTGGACATTTTCATAGATTCTCTCTGGCCTCATACCGTTGTTTTAGACAAACAAATAAAAGAGGAATTTGCATCCACCTGTTTTGTGGTCTCTACTCTGGAAATGCATACCTACAAAGATAAGCACATGTTTCCATCCAGTAAACTTTTTAAGCCCCAAAGAAAGTTACTTAACAAACTTTGCGCTGTCCTTGTATTTTTTTTCTTGTTTGAAACTTTATAGTGATTTTCCACTGATTTACAGTAAAAGCCAAAGTACCTGCCATAACCTACAAGACTTTACATAGTACATCATCTTGTGTCTGTTAGTATTTTGCCCCACTAGGCTGTAAGCTCCAAAAGGGAGCCTACAGAGATGTCAGAAATCTCCCTGACATTTCCTATCCAATGTGCACTTGCCACATTCACCAACTCTAACAGCTTCTACATCTGACTATCAGTAACTTGGTGAAAATTTTTCTGCCACATCCATGAGGAAATAAATAAGTAAATAAATAAATAACAAAGTACCAGCAGCTTCAGTTTGCATGCCTCCCAAAACATTTCCCAGAACTCTGTAAGTAAGTTAAATATTTGTAGGATTTTTTTGCTAGAAGACATGATTTAGTAAATGAAAAGCCAAAAGTAAAAAAGCAATCTGAATAAATATCATTTATTGACATTAAATATGAATAGACCAATGAAAATATTTTCTCCATGATCTGAATTAGTTGTATGCCCATATTTGCAAATATATTATTAAATTAGATTCTACATAGAGACTAATGATTACTTCAGTTAAAATAACTGTGTTGTGTTTTGTATTTTTTCCACAGATTGGTTTCTTCAAAAGACCACTAAAGAAGAAAATGGAGAAATGAAAATGTTTTTCAAGAGAAAATGAAAAACAATTACTCAATGATCCATGTTCCTCAGGTTAGCCTCAAACATGTGACAAGAAATCTACAAAAAGAAAAAAACACCAAAGACAGAGTCACATAACTATGCAATCCAACAAAGATTCATCACCTAGGAAATAACAGATCAAGCTGGATCCAAAAACAGTACCAAAAAATATGTATATTTTTTAAGTGATGAAAACTTATCTTAAAAGACTACTCATTTTTGTTGAGTAGTAAATAACAGTGTTTTTAAGAAGAATCAATATGAATATGTTTATTTGTTAAATCACGATCACCCAAAGTATTTAAGAAAATACACAAATAACTTTATCATCACAGAAGCATTTATTTTTCAAATTATTCTTTGTTTCCCTGATTGTGGACAGATATTCACCTTTAGCATGATAGTTCACACTTGTATGGCCCAGAAAAATGATTGCCTGAAAAAAAGCACTTCTCCAAGCATAAATGTAAAACTAATAAAGGTCCCTTAATAGAATCCATATACAATATTGGCTGAAAACAGAACTAAATCACAACAAATTCATTCAGCATCTTTGTATTGTGTTCTTTAGTTCCCATGTGACTGGAAAATAGTAGAATGAATATACCAGATAGAGTTGTTTAAAAACAAGTGCACTGAATGAAATAGATTAATCTTTTACAGAATGTGCTTAATTTTTAAAACATAGCTCTAAAATGCAAAAGTCTATATAGAATTTAAAGCACGATAAGTAGTTTTGTGGAGTATCACAGTGAGCTGTCATGAAAAGCATATTATGCATGGATCGTGCCACGGAGGATTCTGGATGGAGGATACATGGCAGCAGAAATAAAGGCCTCCTGAAGTACTGAAGTCTTTGCGGAGGAGCCCATGAATGCGAGTGGGCACCTCCAGGGTGCCAGTTATAAAGCAGGATCGTCATCAGCTCATTGGTACAGAGTTCATTCAATGCCCCTTCCCCAAGCTGTGAGAATACATTTGTTTTTAATTTTTTAAAGGCATTTAACTTTCCAAACACATTTCTTATTTCTTTTATAAAAAGGCAGTATGCCATATCTGTATTGCATTCTACCAATAGCTCATTGCTTTTGATTGTGGCATATTAATATTTAAGTAGAACCCCAGAAAATGTATTTTGAAGAATTTCTGGCTTGAAAAAGCTCAAAGCAACCAAAAGATATCACACCTTTATGTATTTTTTTAGTATAGTTTCTCTGACTCTGCTGTGGCATAAGCTTCCAAGTCGCTCCTGATTTTAAAAAAATAACAAAAATTGAATGTATAGTAGCTGCATGTGTGAAATACTGCTGTACAATTTGCCGGTACTTCTGCAATACCTGCTACTCCATTTGACTTACCATCACAACACCAGACAGCAAAGCAACAGAGAAACTGGATATCAGAGGCTTAATGCAAAAAAAAAAAAAAAAAACAAAACAACAATAACAAAAAAAAAGCAGCCTAGTTTCTGAAGAATTACCTGAAGACTCAGATTCCGCCTACCTCTTGGCTCTCCACCTTTACAACTAAGACCCTGAAAACTAAAGGGATAAACCAGAGGGATGCCAAGGATATCAGTAGCTGGAAGAAAGAAGATATTTCCTCTATCCTCCATATTTGTTCTGAGTTCAGAAACCATTCTTCCCACTGGCTATTTCTTTGCCAAATAAAACTCAGGGTTTCTCTTTTTCAGTTCCCAAGTGTCCACTGCCAGCGCTTACCTGCTTAGCAGAACTGCTTCTCTCTCAGCATCATCTAAGAAGCAAATCAGAAACATAAATTTAGGTTCATTCTTGGAATCTGTGACTTCTAGGGAAAGCATGCACTGAAGTATGAGTGTGTATATATTTAACCTAAATACATTGTTTAGCCAAAGAGAAAACAATAAGGAATTCTGGTCTTTTAAGAAAATAGAGGAAGAGCTATTTAGCTAGATCAAATAGCTATCCCGCCATTTGTCTATCACAATTTTAGCATAAGTCATCTTAGTTATTAGTAGACTATTTAATGAACCAGTGATCTCATTTCCCTACTGTTACGACTTATACTGTTATGTGACTTATGCACTTACATACATGTACATATGTATTAAAGACCATATATCCAAATCACACTAACTGACAGAGTTGTGAAAACACAAAAGCTACACCAACAACAAAAGTTGAGTTTCTCTGCTTTTCATATAATATTCATTTTCATTAAATTTAGGTTTAGCTAATATTTTAATGACTGTCTAAAAACATAAATGCAGAGATTATAATCTTTTAATGTTCCCAATCAACTTCATGTGAATGTTTTAATATTCTAGGGCCTATAATTGTATTTTCAAACAATTAATAAGACAAGTAGGTGATGTTTCAGACTTTTTTGAACTTAAAAGCTAAGGTAAATTTCCAAAAACTTGCTTTTTAACTTCACTATTTTTTTAATGGAATCTAGCCAAAACTGTATATGCCATCCTTTTCATGACCAAACTTTTGAGAATATATTGGTAAATTACTTAACAGTTTTTTCTCCAGGAGAAATAAAACCATACCCATCCTTATTATTTTCCAAGTTACTTCTTAACTATTTTCAGACTATGAACATGACCCTAAAGATCTTACCAAATTCCTGGAAATGTGTGTCTGCTCTCATGAACCATGAGTTCATTTTAGCACACCATTAAAGTAGATCACATGGCTGATACACAAATGTGTTGTGCTTATACATACATACCTAAACACACCTATGAATTGTATCAATCTCAGCAAAGTATAATGCTATTAAATTGCCTATTCTTTATCATTTGTAAAAGTCTAACCTTCCTTTAACATTAGTGAAATGATAGAAGTTTACAAAGGAAGGAAGAGACTTAAATTCTTAAAACTAATTCCTGAGGGGAGAAAAAGAGATATGAAGATTGGCTCACAGTGAAAATCAGAGCCATTCAATAGGCACAAAAAAACCTGTTGCTTTTTCTGGAGGAATCCATTGCCTTTCAGGCACTAGAGCAAAAGGTCTTCCTTTATAAATATTTTTAACTTTTAAGAACCAATTTAAACTTCAGTGGTCCAAATTGTTAAGCTACTTTTCTCTGAGCAATTTGGACCTCAAATACATTCTGTGTAAGGTGTGCTTGAAAAGAGGCGTGGAGGAGAGATACTTTAGCCAAGTTCCACGGTTGGACCATCATCATATTATCTATAGCTGCACGGGTGTATTTACATAAGCAATTGCCGTTTTTCTCTCTTCCTTCTATCAATTAGAAAACAGAAATACTTGCACTCAGAGAAAAACTGCTTGGCTTGTAATAGAGCATTGCTGCATTGTGGTAGTGGTTCGGAGAAGCCATGCCCACAATTTTCCCTAGGTCCCAAGCCTATGCCCTGTGCATGGCAGTTCATTGGCTTCTGTGAAGTGTGCTTTCCACAGGCAACGTCTTCACTGAATGTTACATCTCCGCGTGCATTGCCTTCTTGTCTGCACAGGAACTAAATGAGAGAAGATCCAGGCTCAGAACCTGTCTCAAAATGGCTTTTGGCAAGTAAAGTGTTAAAAAGAAAATGGTTCCTTTTGCACTCCTTATTTGTTTTCAAAACCTCTCATGCCCCTCCAGTCCTTTCCCCAAAGGGCAGTTGTTTTAGAGAGACTACTGAAGGAAAAGTCTGTTAATAGAACAAGTCTATTTGCTGTAAATAGCAGCTTCAGTGAAATGACATTGAAACAGAGTTTCCAACCTCGTTTCCCTGTTGTTCCCCCAAGGGTTGACATGGCATAGTGTAGCAGAGACAACGTGAAATGGATTTCAGAGATATAGCTGCACAGAGAGATTTACAGCCATGCAGGATCACGTCAGAGCAGAATTACTTCCTCACCCAGAGAAATAGTCTAAAAGCTGAAAGCAGGGCTTTATCCCCAAACTGATGCTAATAATTTTAACTTAAACGTACAAGTTAATTCCCAACCCCAAACATTTAAATGCAAACAGCTTCAAGGTGAGAACTCTCTGCCTTTTAACCAGGCTCTTGTCTCTAAATTCCTCCTACAGAGAAATCTCTAAAGCACCACTGGATGTTTATCATGTCAGCTCTGCAGTGGAAGGAAGGCCAACGCGTGTTACAGAAGGCTAACATGTGCGGCCAGGTGTCTAGCTCAGTGACTGAGTGCTGTCTGGCATGTGTGAAACCCTGGGGTTTGGTTCCCAGCATGGCAGCATTTGGGGGAGGGGAAGCATATGACATGACACTATTTCCCAAATGGGGGCACGGTTGCAATACACCGATGTGTAGAAAATAAAAACATTGAGAAACTGACCCTTCGTAATCTAGTGAACAAATCGGTGTCTTTTTGCCTCATGACTTAATCTTGATTTTAGAAATTCAGAATAACGGCTTTTAACCATCAAAATTAAGGAGAAATAAAGTAGTGTATAGGCTCATGAACCCCAGCTCGGTTGTCCCCCAAACATCTGGCACTCCAGAAGTTTAGTTGCTGAGTGATGGGAGTGGCCCTTTCTGCTATGGTAAGAAGCCTGGTTAACTGTTCTCAGGCCTGAAGCTAGCTTCTTCCATCAGACACACAGAAGCAGCACTCCTTGCTAAAGTTCACTCCACCAAAAAGTGTGCAAGGGTCAGTCGCATCTCTTGGACACTATTTTAAGATCAGCTCATTTGGTTTTTGTTTGATATATAGCAAGACCTTTCTCTAGTCCTTAACACAAGACGTTCTTGCATCTTCTTCTTGCAAAGTTGGAGCACTGTGGTGCTAGGAAGATGGGACAGAGAAGCCAGAGCCTATTGGCAGGATTCACCCCCTTCTGTCAGCAGGTTGCTTTTCTCTCAACCACTATGGGCATGTTTTGTTCTGGTCTGGGGTTAATGTGGCAGGACATTCCTTCTATGCCTTGTGCCCTTATGTAGCATCTTTGATGCTGGGATATTACCTTTGTTGGTGAGCTAAGACGAAGAAGTCTTTTATCTGTCACCTTGTGCAAATCGTGTCAATTAACTAGGGACCAAGTGATACTCAACTCATTACTATGATTACGTTTGGCTTGTTGCATATTTCACATAACATTCTTGTGA